TATAATTCGGATTAATATCGATGCCAAACTATTATTATTCATTTATTATTATTATTATTATTATTATTATTATTATTATTATTATTATTATTATTATTTCCTATAGTAATTAATTGTTATATTATTTTATAGTTTATTTGTATTTATTTTACTTTATTTTTTATTTTTTTTTCCAATTTATTATTTGTTTTTATTACCAAGAGGTTTATGTTCAAAAAAAAAAAAAATATATAAACTTTAAGTTTTTCTTAGAAGCTTTTAAATATATATAACACAGATTAAATATCTTAACTCTACATTTATTATGCCCTTTAAACATTGGAAAAAGAATGCATTTCCTTTCATCCTGAATCATTAATTTTAAAAAGATATACTAACAATATCTTCTTCTTCTTCTTCTTTCTAATTTTTGTAATTTTGACTATTTCATACTTTCATCTCATTTTATTTAACTTGCAAAACTTCGACTTCATAATTCAACAATTTCATAAATTCTCTTATTTCTTTCAACAATTCATTATTTTTAAGATTATACTGAAAATGTATCGTATATTATTATTATTATTTTCTTTTTTTACCTAATAATATTTTATAATTATCAATATTTACCTTGATAGCTTGTCTGTAACATAAAATAAATTCGTCATATCTTTTCAGAGAAAGATTCAACAAACATAAATATCCCCAAATGTCAGCGTTGCAATTATCAATCTTGTTTGCTTCTATCAAAGCTAATTCGGCTTCTTTTAATTGATTCAACTTAAAAAAAAAAAAAAAAAACCAAAAGATCATTTAATTAAAGTACAATAAAAATATCTTGTAATAAAAGATAAATATTGTTTAACTTTATAAAAAGAAATTCCAAGATGAAACCAACTGATAGACGTTGGTGAAGATTGGCAAGCATTTAACAATACTTTATTAGCTTTTTCATAATCCTTTTGTCTTTCATAACACAATCCCATTCTAATAAAAAAAAAAAACATATTAAAATCATTCTACACATTTAATTTTGTTTTAAATATTATTATTATGATACCTTAATTGCATAAGATAAATATCATCTGGTCTGTCAAAAACCATATTAGCAAATTCATAATAATTTATAGCTTCTTTCAAATCACCATGTTTAAAATAACAATGTCCCATTAAACAACTTATCGAGTAATCCTAACGAATGAAGGAAAAAATTTGAAGAAACATTAATTTAAGAAACCAAATCGTGTATATTTGATTATATATATATAAAAAAAAAAAAAAAACAATGTCAAACCAATCCATATTGACATTGAGCTTCCTTTAAATGAGATAATGCATCTTCGTATCTGTGTAAGAGATAATGTTCCACTGCCATATAATATAATAAATGCGTCGATCTACCAGTTAATGACATTTCTTCTGCTAATGCAATACCTGCCAACTATTTATAAAAAAAAAAAAAAAATAAATCTTTTCAACTTATATGAATGGAACTTTAAACAAAACAAAAACCTTAATTAACCCTTTGCACTCCGCTGTCTCACCGTATGAGACATTAAAGTTTATTACGGGAAATGAAATTATTTCAGCACAAATTTTTGAGACATGCATGTTTCCCTGATGTTTTTTCTTAAAATAGCACAAGACATCGAATCAAAATATAGTAAAATGACAAAGAAATATAAAAGAAATGTCAACGAGTTTTGTGTTTTAAGAGAATGCGCTCTTTTTCTTTTTTCAATTGCAACGCTATTACACACATACATTCTTTTGGTAAAAGTTCCTTAGGTAAATATATTCCTTGATGTCTACAGATTAATATAAGTCCAATATCATTAGAATCCGTTATTTGGTTTCAAAGTTATACTAAATAATACGAGGGTCTGTAAATATGCCATTTCTGTGGCGCGAAGTAGCTGCTACCCCCAACGTCCAGAATCGTGCGGAGTGCAAAGGGTTAAGTAAATCAAGTATTATAAAATTAAACAGTAATAATAATTACATCATAGAGATGCAATTTAAGCAAAAACGTTATTGTCATCGTGTATATGCTATCTCGTGGACAATGAATCATTGACCATGCAAATGGTTCTTGATTATTGATTGATATATCTTGATCTTTATCTTTCATGCATTCCTTGGCTATTCGAAACGTGACATCTATTCCTAATATAATAATACCATTTTTACATGAGATCAGTATGAATCTATTGTATATATGTGTGTGAGTGTATGAATGCATGTATGAGGGAAAGAAACCAAAAATTAATAAATAAATATTACTAGGGGTGCCCCGCCACGCGTTGCTGTGGCTCACAATCAGTCCAATACACACATCTTTAAGTCAATTGCAATTATAAATTGAGATATAAACTATCCTATCTTTCAAGTTGGACGAAACTGCACAAAGTGTGCAAAATTTGATTAAAATTGGTTCAGTAGTTTAGGAGTTCATTGTAGACAAACAACGTGACACGTAATTTATATATAAGATATACAAGAACATGGTTCCTTGTAAGTATAAAAAAATAATAATAAAATAATGAATTGGTTATATTTCATTTTATTTTTGTTCTCTTTTTTTTCTTTTTGTAATTGAAAATTAAAATACGCCGTGAAAAATAACCGTGAATAGTTTTGAATATAATCGAAGAATCCTTGTAAGTATAAAATAATAAATAAAAGAATAATTAATTAGTTATTTAAATTATTTTGTTGTTGTTGTAATTGAAAAGTAAAAACTAATTTTGAACGTAATTGAGGAATGATAATTTGATTAATTAGATAATACCTGAATAATAATCGGTACGAATGTAAAATAAATGTAAGATCATCCATCCTTCGACAAATCTTGGATAAAAATTGGTAATACTTCGAAAAAATATTTCTGCTTCTCGGTAAAGTCTTTTTTTCATTAAAATAGCTCCATAAACTAATAATCTAAATGAATGAAATAATTGATTAATTATTTCTAATTTGATTAAATTACGAATGATTTAATTACGATATTTTGTGACGATTATTCAAACAAATAGCTTCACGGCAACATTCCTCGGCACGTTCTGTATCTTCAATTTTTAATAAAAATATCGCATAATTGATCCACGCGTCAGAATTATTTTTCATTTGATCGATAATCTATAAAAAAAAAAAAAAGATATGACAAATTTTAGTCAACAAATTAACCAAAAAAAAAATAATTTGATTAAAAATTTAATATAATCGGTATGTGTGTGTGTGTATGTAAAAATATATACAGTAGTATAATATTTTCTAGCTTCATCGATGTTGCCTAATTCATAAGCTTCTTCAGCATAGAAATATAATCGATTTGAATCAGATATCATTGACGAATCCTTCGTATAATTTCCTACGATCGTTTCATTAACAATTTTTCTCATTGATTCGACCAAATAATTATATACAGTTATTATAAAATTCTAATAAAAAAAAAAACGGATGATGTAATGTCATTTAAAATTGAACGTTTAATTATAAAATCGATTAGATAAAATGATCTCATTGACATGATTTACCTGTTCTTCGCAAGAATCTAAAGTATACGATGGCATTTGAAATTTGTGATCTAAAAGTAAAATAACTTTAGTCTTCAATGCATTACGTATGGATAAATAAACTCCCGTTTTATATAAATATTGAACGAAACATGTTAACTCGTCCTAGAAACAAAAACAAATTACTTATTTTTATATACAGGGTGAGATTCAGCAGGTTTTGTCAATCTAAACAGCACCGAAAATATGATAGTAGCAGAAAAGTTGCATGAAAAATTCAGGACTATAATATATCTTTTTTTTTTCGTGGGGTTTGTTAATCCGGGCGCTCAGTCCTTGGGCCAACGTGCCCGGGCCCCTTGCGGAGAAAAACCTATCATTGTGGCGGTCCCGCGGGCAGCCCCGTCCCCCGTACGAAGTGCAGCAGTCCGGTCGCCCCCGAGGACCACCAAGTCGAATGTTGGCGGTGGGGTCCTAAGGACATCATTTCTGACGCCCACAAGCCCACACAAAGCCAAGACAACGAGCAGGCATTGCTCCCTCGTTGGTCGGAGAGCGGGGACTCAAACCCGCGAAAACTTTGGGTGGGAGTCGAGCGCTCTGCCGACTGAGCCATGCCGTGCTCTAAAATCTGACATTAGTATTTTATTGCTTAGGTTTGAATTTTTATTAGAAAACAAAAAATGATAGAGAGAACAATAACTAACCGGTACATAACAAAATGTAGAATTTTGGTCTTTGTTAGTTTCATGATCAGATAAAATTGATTTCTTATTTGTTTCTTGACAAAAATCCTATCAAAAATCGTAGAATGTCAATGAAATAATATTTATTCATATTAATTATTAATTATTAATAATCATACTCTATAACTTTCCGTTAAAACATGAAATAATGTTTCAATACATTTTGCATATTGATCTTCAACAACGTTTATGGAATATGGATAATATGGTTTCTTATCTGTCGGTGTTATCAATTCATCAATCCTAAAGTAAAACAAACAATTTATAATAATGATAAAAATTACAAAGTTAATTATAAGAATTATCATTTACAAATTAGAAAAATCTTTAGCTAATCGACATGGAACAAGGGGACAATTAAATTCAATTTCGATTATTACAAAAACTGGTTCATTGTTTTTTGTGATTACTGGTTCACCCGTTAATGTTTCTGCTTCTGATACTACTGACGTATCCTACAAAAAACAAAACAATTAACAAATTTAATAATAATAATAGGCACTGGTGTCTCCAGGTGCACCAGTTATAAATTTGATAAAAGATAAATGTGATCGCACTTTCGTCGAAGTTTTTCCACGTTTATCTTTTTCTTTAGGTTCTTTAGTTTGATTATTATCTATTAAAAAAATATTTTTATCATATCCAGTTTTTTCCATAAGTTCTATGGGATTGTAGGTATACAATTGCGATGCAATACGTGTTTTTCTTCCTAAAATATAAATTTCTTTTTGTTTTATATTACATGCAATAACTTGTGTTTTATTTTAATTATTTATTTGTTAGTTTATAGGCTCACTTCCAGGAAATAATAATTCGCTTAAATCAACGTAACATTGATAATAATAATTTGAATATTTCGTAGATTTTGTTTTTCCATTTAACTTTTGTACATCCGATGCCATAAATTGAAATGGCCAACATTTATACCTATATAGTATATTTGTTTATAAAAAAAAAAGTTATTATTATAAAAATGATTAATTATAATCTTATATTCATGAAAAAATAATTAATTTTAACTTTGAAATTTGATTTCGTAATTTTTCAATAGAATCTTTGAACAAAATGTGACGACTCATAGAATTCCATTCAATTCTTGTTACATCATTCTCAACTATGTTCTTTAAATAATTCAATTATTATTATTATTAAAGACATTAGAAATTTGCTTTGATATAAATTACGTTAATGAAAAATACCTGTAATTTAAGTTCCTTATCCAGAGTATTTTTTACATCATTGTAATTATAATCAATTTTATATTTTGATAATTTAGCACGACTTTGCAAATGAAACAAACAATTCCAACATTTTGTTTTACATATATCTCGATTATTCATCAATTTACCACCATCGTGTATTATCCTTTTCGTTTCCTTTGATCGAATAATTATTTTATATAAATGTGGGACGAGCGTCTCCATGCCAAACTTATTGGGCATTCGTGAAAAGGATTGGTCGGTGGGCCCTGGATAGCTCAATTGGTTAAAAGAGAGCAGTCGCCCGTGGTGGTGGAGTCCCGGTCCCAGTCAGTCCAGAGGGTCCAATTTTTTTCACGAATCCCACATAAATATATTTAAATAAAAATAAAAATATACCAACTTCGTTTTCTTCACCATAAATAATAGTGCCAGCTTTGTAAACGAGATTATCAGTGAACCATGATGGTGGATTAAAAATACTTTCTACAGTGATGTTTACAAAATTATATTTTAAATCAGAAGGAAAGAATTGTTCTTCATCTTGTTGTTTAACTTTGATTGTTAAATATGGAAGATTAGGCCATGACGAAGAAGTACCATCAAATTTAAATTCCATCGTTTCCAATATTAATTTTTCAGTAAATAAATTCTCTCCTGTATAATAATTACATAATTTGATGATAATCACAAATTTATATACAGGGTGTATTGTAAACTGATTTTATAAACGAGCAAGAATTAGTTTTACATGCAAAAAAAAAAAGAAATAAAAAATATACAATAAAATATAAAAATGGTGTTGGTATTTCTATACCATTTAATAAAATTTAATAATAAATGTGTGCATAATTAATTAATAATAAATATTTGATAAAACTTTGTTACGAACATATTTTATTTTATATTTTTAACTTATTAGTTGTTATTTATGTTGAATAATAATTTCAGGCTTGTTTGTATCACAAGTTACACATGAAACATTATATATATATATATACTTAGGTTAGAATATATTTACAGAAATTTGAAGTTACCTAATAAAATTGGCATTAGATCGACGTTGCATAATCCAATAACAGTTTTAGATGATTTCGTTAATTCCTTTTTCTTTCTTTCTGTATTCAAAACATTAGTTGTAACATTTCCATCTTGTTTGACGTACGATAAATTAACTACAGATTGAAAAATAATATTTAAAAAAATCATTTAATCGATACAAAATAAATAAAATAAAATATTTTAATTAAACTTTACTTAAAATTGGAATGGAAACGATAAGATCAATGCTATTTCGATCGTTCAAAAGTACTGGAATTTTAATTGAAAAATTAACATCGTATATTGGTGTTGGTTCTTTGATACCAGCTTCGATTTTAATTGGATTACTTTCTCCTAATATATTTGAATTATGTTCTATTGAAATGATTACATACATATCTTCATTTTTTATCTGAAAAAAAATATAATTAAGACACACACACATGTATGTGAAATATTTTTATACAAATTAACTTACGATATTTTCTAATGTCATTACAGTTAATTCGATAATTCTTTCATTTGTATCTTCATCTAAGTTTAAAGTCAAATTTAATGGCTCATCATCGTTTGACTGTAATTAATATTAATATTTAAAAATAAAATAATTAATTAATATATATACATATATAAAAAATACAAATAGAAAATTGTCATTACCGTATCCATTTTGATCAACTTTGTTCATTTGTTCGATTATTAAAAATGGGGTTGGATCAGTTTTTGATATTGGAAAATTCAAACTCAACAAGGATGCCATGAATCGATAAAATTTTAGAAACTGTATACGAAATATATCGAAAAGTATAATATCAACAAAAAATATCGACTAACTTCAACCTATAAACCTGTATAAATATTTAGAAATAAAAAATTAATTAAATGAACAATTTAAATTGGACCAAATTGTAAATCTAAACCATTTTCGAATTCATCTGAAGACACACAAAATATTTCATTAAAATCGGTCCAACTGTTTAGGAGGAATTCAGTGACATACACACGCACAGAAGAATTATATATAGGTATTTTACAATAGACACAACTCGAGATATTCACATATTATTATTTCATATATTTAGATAAAAAAAATTCATTTTACAAACCATATATGATATAGAATATATACGTAATACATACATATATGTATCTATATATATATGTTATATTTATATATATTTTAATATATAAAAATATATGTGCATATAGATATAAATATATGTTATATATTTTTATATATTAAAATATGTATTATAATGTAATATAATACACAAATATAAAAAAATGATGACCAATAAAATTTGGCCGACTAGATTAGACGATTAGATTAGATTATTATGATCATCATAGATCAAATGATCTAAAATAAAGGATGTATGAAAAAGAACGTATTAGGAAAATCAAATAAAATTCAATATTTTACATGATAGTAATCAATATTTGTTGATCATCCTTAACAAATAATTATTGATGTCTTCCTATATTCTTTTTTTTTTTTTTTTTTAATTTTTATTCTCTTTTTCTTTTTTCATTTTATTTGTTTTTCTTTTCACATATACGCCCTCATACTTACAAAAACTAAATAATGATAATAAAATGTAATTGAGCTTTTTTTAACAATTATTTTGCATTGATTGTTTAATTTTCTTGATTAAAATTGAATGATTTAAAGTTTATCGTGTCAACTGTCATCACTGAAAGTTGAAAATTTGAATTGAAATCTTGTCACAAATTGATCTCGTTTTATTAATTATTATTTATGGTAATCAGATCATTTGTTTTTGTTTTTTTTTTTTTTTTACGTATAGGAAAGAGAAATTATTGCAAAATTTTAATTTCCATTTAATAATCGTTCATCGTTCGTCGTTCATTTAAAATATTTGATTCAAAGGGATTTCAAAGTTTTATCGATGTGCCTTAAGGTTTTTTCTGGTACAGCATCGTTCAATGCTTTTTGGAAACCCTCGTAATTCATTAATCGTCGAAAAATCTTCTTTGCATGGTTTCTATAAATAATAAAAACATTGAATTAAACAGTCATCATTAATAAGGTATATTTATTTTAAGGGGAGGACACCATTAGTGTGAATTCATTGCCGCAAATATCAAATCTCGCCAGTGTTTCCGTCCCTGAAATTGAAATTGCGAATACTTCGCTTAATTTGTAATTTTTTTCAGTCCAAAAATTTGGTCATTTATATTCATCAAATATTCACGATTATCTCTTTAAAAAATTGAAACATTCCATGTAGTAGTTTACTTGAAAAAAAAATTCCAGAAAAATCACCTTTCTTTCAAGCGTTCACACTTAGTGGTGTCCCTTAACAATATTTTAATTAATACAACAGGTGTTAAAAAGGATTTTGATTATTTACCTAGCATCTAAATTTCCATCCATCAATAATTTAGCTGCTGAATTAATTAATTTATCTCTAACATCACGTGGTAACGTCATAGCGTGTTCAGCACCAATACGTTCTACGATCGATGATAGTAATCTCGCAGTGGTTGCTCTTACAATTGCATTTTGATGACTACAAATTGAACGATTAATTAATATATCATTTGAATTAAGAATAAAATTAAAATGACTTCTTTTTTGTTCATACTTTGCACCACGTAATACGATAACACCGATAGTTTTATGGGGTGGAAGTGATTCGATCATTTGATCCAATGCTGCGTTACTATTAAATCGTAAAAAACGATTTGTATCAGCTGTTCTATTAAGCAATGGTCCAACGATATCATCTATATCCTGTAAAAAGTAATTTTTTTTAAATTAATGTGAAGAAAAAAAGTAACATTTTTAAGAAAAAAATCTGAGTTTTAAGAAACAAAGAATATATATATTCAAATGTTTATTGTATATTTATATTTAAATATATATATGCTAATATATAAAATATAATATTATATTTAAGAATTTAGTTTATATATTATAATATTATAATTTAATTTAATTTACCTGTTCTATACTACGAATTTGACATGTAAAAATATCACCAGCAGCTGTACAAGCAGCACGTGCTACCTGAGAACGAAGACTTTTAATGTGACGACCCAATAATCGTGCTATCGTACCACCAATATTATTATCCAAATATTCCGGATGTTGTTTAGCTATTTGAGATAAAGATTTAAGTCCTTTTATCGTTATCTCCCTATTACAAACAAAACAACATTTCATTTAAATATTAATATTTCATTTTGCAATACAATTAACCCTTATTGGTCATCAGGTTTGTAAATTAATTATTTTCACTTATGTAGGAGATATTTATTGAATTATATTAACATATTTTTATATTTGTAAGTCACTTCTCACGTGACATACGATCAATAAGGGTTAGTTAATAATGTATTTTTTTATTTTTTGTTTTGTTTTGTAAAAATACTTTACCAGTCTTTATTATCTAATTGTTCGAAACACTTGTGCATAATATTTTTCTGCATATCCGTTGTTTTATTCGAAGGATGATGATGATGATGATGACTACTACTAGTGTTTGATTTGTTCAAAATAATCCTAGATTTGGTCGTATTACGAAGTACATATTTAGGTAATGATTTTTTAATGGCTCCTACATTTTCTATAGGTTGTTGCTAAAAAATATAATAACAATTTTATTATTCATTAATTAACAAAAAAAAATCAATTTTATATAAATTTCATAATATTAGGTCAAGTCATAAATAAGTTCCGTTTTTTTATGGTGTTTCTGCGACTGATAAGTGCAAGACACCTTTCATGAAGTTTTTTTTTTGCACTCTTTGCAATTGTTCAACGTATCTATTGGATTTTGCTCCAATATTACCTTTAAAAGGTTCATTAAAGTCGGTAAATACGTCCTGCACTTGGTTCATCTTTTAAGATCGTATCTCCAGAACGGAATTTTACAAACCAATTTCTGACTGCCCTATCAGTTATCAGTCCTGCACTGTATACGCTGTATATTTTTTCAGTTGCCACTTTAGTGCTATTGCCTTGTTTCAATTCTTAAAGCATTACATGTCGAATATGCACTTTTTACTATCCATTTCAGTGGTTAAGAAAAATGGTTAAATGTAACATTGACTACATCAAAAAGTTGACAGAAGACTAAAACTGAATCCTCATCTATACAGTGATATCGAAAATCCGTTTGTTTCGGTGACTTATAGTAGGTAAATACGAAAAATAGATTCTACGGAAGTTACTTATGACTTGACGTAATAATTCATTCATTATTTATATAAATTTTTAACAAATATTATATATTATACATACTTCTATTTTAAGGATAGCAGGTGTTTCATTATTTTCTTTATTATCTTTTGTTTCGACATTATTATCCGTGATATCGTCCAATTTAGTAAAACTTTCCGAAATAATATCAGGTATCTTTGTAAATGCAATATTTGTCGTAGAAATGTCATTAGAAATATTTTCTAAATCAAAATTAGATGCAACATTTCTAGAATTATCAACGTAATCCGAAGTATCATTTAACAAATTTGAAACAGATTCATCAACGTTATCTAATTTATCAGATAATATCATTTCTTCATTTTTAATCATCATAGGTTCATCAATATGAAACATTTCTTCCTTTTCTATATTTTCCAATAATATATCGATGTTATCATCATCAAACTATGAATAAAATGATCAATATATGTAATTTATTAGAAATAATGAAAATATTCAATTAACAAATCTATCGAAATTCTAATCAATTATAAATCAAGAATTTAAACTTACCTTTTCTAAACTCGAACGATTAGAAAATCTTCTAGGTGAACCGAACAACCCTAAATCATCAATCGGTGTAGAATAATCCAATTCGGATTTGACTATAACTTTGGAATGTTCCGGTGATGATGAAAATGACCAATTGTCCGGTAAAGTTTTGTTCATTTTAAAATTAATTTCCAATGAATTTTGACCAGATGACATGGATAATTCGTTCATGATAATTTCTTCATCGATTTTAGTAATGTTTGATTTTTTACGAGAACTCATGTCATTTGTATCATCGTTCATTGTATCAGAATTTTCGCTGTTGAAATTAAAATCGTCATCATCATCATCATCATCATCATCATCTTCTTTAGATTCATCACTCTCTTTTAAAATAATATTTTCTTTGTTTATCAATTTGATTCCTTCATCGCTACTCCAATCCTTTAAAATTTCATCTTCGGCCATTGATGTACTTGTAACTTCAGTTGAAGTATCCGATTCTTTTGTTGTTAACTATAAAAACAAAACATATGTTTAACAATTATAGATTATATTTAATTAATTCGATATTTGTTGATTTGTTGTTGTTGTTGTTGAAAAACTTACGTCATAGGAATTATCGATAGGATTATTTCTTTCCTGTGATTTATTTGATATAACGTCGAACGCTTTTTCATTRATTTCATTTTGAAATATCAATGTACCAATTGTATCATCATCATTATTATTATCATGACGTCTTTCCAATAATGATCTCAATATACTATCATTTCTTTTAGGTTTCGAATGATTATCCGATGTATCTGATGATGTACTGTCAGGACTTCTTATTCTTACTGCATTTTTTTTTATTTTTATTTTTTTTTTTCATTCCATAAATTACACCGAAAATTAAAAGAAGAACAATTTAAAAAAAAAAAACAATCTTTAGATATTCATTAATTGATTAATATAAACTATTGTTATTAGATGATTATTTGTCGTTGATTAAAATTGACGATAATGTTCGATCCAGTTTTATACTTGACCAGTAGTAAAATATTGATTACTTTTCGTGCCTGTAAACTCAGCTTGGACGTTAAACTACGTAGGATATATACATGTGTTTGTATGTGTGCATATGTGTATACAAACATACACATATATATGAAAGGTTAAGAACCTTTTGCTCCAGTTCGTCGTACATTCGATCGTCTAAGCTGATTTTACAGTTAATTGTATCGATCGTTATCGTATTTACATTAAATTACTATTAATATAATAATATATATATACCTTTGTGAACTATTTCATCGTTGTTTAAAACTTGTCTAGGATAAACATTATTTTCTGATGAATAATATTTCTTGTTATGTCCATCGTTGTATATTTCTTCATTTACAGGTGCTTTATCTCTGAAAAATGATCGAATAAAGTGTAATTATTGATCCATGTATATTGATTCCACGAAAACACCTACACAAGGAAAAAGAATAAGACATATAATCAATTTTTTCAATATTTTTTTTTTTCATATTATAAATAAAATATGTTTCACTATTGATTCAAGTTGTATATTAATCATAGATATTAATATAAAATAACATCTACTATACCATAGAAAAAGAAAATAATCCTATAACCAAATTTTCTAATATTTTTCATATAATATATAAAATATATTTGACTATTGATTCAAGTAGTATATTGATGGTAAATATTAATATAAAATAACATCTACTATACTATAAAAAAAGAAATAATATTATAACCAAATTTTCTAATATTTTTCATATAATATATAAAATATATTTGACTATTGATTCAAGTAATATATTGATGGTAAATATTAATATAAAATAACATCTACTATACTATAAAAAAAGAAATAATATTATAACCAAATTTTCTAATATTTTACATATTATATATGAAATATGTTTGACTATTGATTCAAGTAGTATATTGATCGATCATAGATTTAAAAATACAAGTTAACACAAACCTAAGAATAATAAAAATAAAAAATCCTAATATAAAATTAGAAAAAAAAAACGTACATTGTATCAGTACTTCTATGTAGTCTCACTGCTATCACCGGTGTAACATTAGGATTAGTAATGATCGTTGATATTGATCCATTATCATCGTTATCATCGTTTCCAATACCGATCGATCTTCTACACCGAAATACGCAAGGACAACAACGGAGAACGGTACCAGCGAAATTAAATTCATTATCACCATCACTATTTTTATTATTGTTGTTTAATTTATTATCCTCTTTAGTCTCGTTAGACCACACGCAATATTTAAATATCATTATTCCATTTATCGATCCACTTTGTTATTATTATTATTTTATTATGATTTTTATTACACTTCATTCTGTCGTTTTTTTTTTTATTTTTTTTAATTTTAGTTTTGTTTTGTAATATCACCGATAAAATACTTTATCGTCCATTTTAAAGAAATGATTGAAATAATGTATATGCATATGCTATATATGTATGTGTATATCAATGTATGATAGAATGCAACAAGCGTACGAATGGACGTCATATTTTAACGATTAATATTTCCATTCTATCCCCCCATTGTTCTTTTTTATACATATAATATAATATATTTTATAAGTATAATATATAATATTAATATAATAATTTAATTATTATATTATTATTAAAAAAATATATATTATATATTATATATTATACTATATATATATACAGTATAACAGTTATAACTAATATATAGCAATATATATTAGTACTACTATATTAGTACTATACTATATATTATATAATTTAAATATTACAATAATTAAAATTAAAATTTGTACATTAATTGAAAAATGATTAATTGTTTAATATTATGGTTGAAACATAGAAATAAAAAAGAAGAAGAAAATAAAAATGGTTAGATACTTTTTAATAGAAAGGTCAGAGATATAATCGTTGACAAGTATTAATACCACCACCGTACGTACGCACAACTATGACTGGTTGGATGGCGCCGAACGCACGGACGTCTAGCGTCCCGACGCTACTGACCGCTACCCCCACCCATTAGGGTTGTCCTAACCCTAGCTTCCCCCATTACAAACCACCCACCTATTCACCCTCTTTTCTTTCTATGTTACCTTTACACTTTGAATGGTAATTTTGATTACTTTACTTGGACTTTACTTTGTACTTTTGTTTTCGTACATACGTCCTTGTCCTACGAGGGACAAGGTTGTTCAATTTTCTTTTTTCATATCAATTTAATATTTTATAATATAAGTTTTATTAATTTATATTTATATAAATTATATAAATATTATTAAATTAATATAATTTTTATGGTACTTACGCATTAACGACACCGTAGCAAAAATTGCGCTAATGCGCCAATAAACAGCAATCTTGTTGTTCGCATACAACAGCCTTGTTGTTTGCATATAGCAACCGTCAGGGTTTCGTCAGGATTGCATCAGGTTTTCGTCAGGGTTGCATCAGGGTTATAGCGACAGCATCAGGTGAAAGAAAATAGAGACTGTTCTAAATCTATGTCAAATTTTATATCAGCCCATTTTTCCACCGAAAAAAATATAAAGTTTATCGTCTACAAAAGATTTGGTACTGAACAGAAACCCTGAGGCAACCCTGACGCAACCCAGACGAAACCGTGACGGCTGCTTTGTGCAAACAACAAGATTGTTGTTTGCGAACAACAAGATTGCGCTTTTATTGGCGCATTAGCGGAATTTGTGCTACAGTAGCGTTAATACCTGAGTACCATTTTTTTATTGTATTAATTTTTTATTTTATTTTGTTGTTGTTTTTATTGTTGTTGTCTATTTCTTTTTAATTCACGGGACTAATGGTTTAGTTAGTATTTAGGTTAACGAATAGTATTATGTAAAAAATGTTGTAATGATGTTTTCAATAGAAAACTGTCCTGACTCACCCTTTCAACGTTTTATAGTCCTATTTTCTAAGAAATTTCGATCTATCGATCGATATTATCGTATTACGATCTAATCTTTGTACTGTTGGACACAATGCGTGATGGACATCTATTTTTCCTACGAAGTATTCCTTTTTTTTTTTTTTTGTTTATGTATAAAACTGTATTAAATCAGTTGTATTATCATTAACAATAGAACAAGAATAAATATAAATATTATACAGGGTGTCTCATGTAATTATATTCACGATTTTGCAAGTACTTGACACGATAACCTGACAGAAAAAATACAAACGAAAGTTAATCTGTTTTTTTGATTGACTATACAAAATTATTTATAAAACCGGTTAAAACTATAAAGACTGTAAATGTGTGTATGTGTGTGTGTTGTGTTGTGTTAATGGATTATACGTATGTCCATTTTTGAATTTCATTCCCGCATGTTTTCATATAACGAAAGATAAAAAGGTAAAAAGGTGTGCACATGATTGGAAGCAAAATACCTCGATAAAAAGAAATATAAGTAAAATTGTATTCTTATGCTGTATAAGCGAATCCCTCCCTGCTACCACAAGAACCCTTCCATTTTTTTTTTTTTTTATTATCGCAGTAAGAACGACTTTGTACACGCAACTTAAAAGTGACCTAAAACTCTTCTCTCTCTCTCTTTATTTTTCTTTCTCTTTAGCAACCATAATTACTGCTACTTTAAAATGTAATTATTTTAATGGGTAAATAAAGTGTCGTCTAAAAATATCGTACGTTGTAAAATACTATATGTGAAATGTATGTTGTAGAAAATTTCAGTTCATTACACTTTTGTCCCTTATGTTAGATGACATTGATATGTCAACGTGTTTTTTTTTACGATGTCTACGATTTCACAAGGTGTTTCATTAATTAAACAAATGTCACATTGACGTATACCAAAAAAAAAGAAAACATTAATAAATAATTTTCAATAAATAATAAATAAAATTTTATAATTATAATAATTATTAATAAATAAATCATTTTATAGATCAATAAAAAAAAGAAACATAAAAAACAACCTAAATTAAGTGCAATATTAGATTAAATTAAGTGATATTAAATTAATTGCATTAAAATCATCACAATTGTTTTGTCGTGAAGAAATTTAAATAATTGCTTTTATATAAAAATATACTAAATTTGTTTTTAAAATGTATACAATTAATTACTGCAATTATAATATTTTTCTATAAAACAATCAAAATTTAACATAAATATTGTCAAAAACGTACTCTACAAAGAAGGAAACGTTTGAAACATTTCATTGTAAATAAATTTCTAAACAAATAAAATGAAAATACTAATAAAATCTACTCACATATCATGAACAGAAGATCCTTGAATATTGTTGTATGCAATTACGGTGAATCTACCTTGATGATTAATTTCCGATGGTGATAACGAACGTATTCGTCTTCTGAAGGGACTATTTACAAACACATGATCATCCGTACGTGTACTCGATGATGATTGGTCGGTCTCGTTAAATTGTTGATCAGTCGTCTCGTCAATTTTCCAATCGTTTCTCAACTGTAAACAATACCTCATCATTTTCATTTCAATTTCAAATATCACAAACAATGAAAAAATACATTTAAAAAAAGGAATAACAAACAACAACCACAATTATATTACATATCATTATACCTGTCCGTAAGATTGATGATTAATTATTGTTTCTTCACCTTTTGTATTGGCCAAATCTTGATAATTACGCTTATACGTAGTTGTAGTTGAAGTAGCAGTTGTTTTAGTTGTATTCATTGTTTTAAACGATGATCCATTTGTTAATTGACATTGACGTTGAACTGTTGTATCAAATCTAAAATTAGACAAATTTATAAGGCGACTAGTGTTTCTTTATTATATGAAATATAATAATATTTGAGAAATATTATAATATATTATTAATATATAAATAATAAAAAATAATATTTAAGAAATATGAAATGTAACAAATGTTGATTATAAAACTAACGTTTTAAAAGTTGGTAATTTGTTATGTTGATTATTATCAAATGTTGATGTATACTGTGACGGTAATGTTGTTTCAATTGGTTTCATTTTGGAATATTTTAAATATCCGTCAGAACTCTTTGAATATCTTTCCTTGACTAATGTTCGTGATTGTTCTTCAGATACAAATTTCGATCTAATGTTTACATCGTTAGATATATTTTGATTACTTTCCACGGTATATTGTGAATTTATCGTACACGATAACGGACGATAATTATTTCTATGAGAATTAAATGTTTCATTTGTTATTTGACTATCCAACGATGTCATTGGCGACATTTCTGCATCTTGTTGAAAACGTTTACGTCTTTGATACGTTGTTTCTAATCTGTATGGTGTATATCAATAATATTATTTATTATTAATTTATTATTCATGTGATGATTACATTGGCAGAAAAAACATATGTCGTATTTATTTTTTAATTTTAATTTTAATTATAATCAAATTAAATTAATTTGAAGAAAAAAAAATCAAATCAAATTAAATTAATTTGAAAATTGCAAATAATGCAATTCTTCCTCTACTTTCTTAGTATTTTTTATATATTTACCCGATATTTTTACTTCTCAATTTCAAAACGTTACTTTTATTATCCGAATTATATTGAATACTTTTTCTTAATTTAGAATTAAACTGATCTAAATTGTTATCCAATAAATTATTAGATGATTGATCGTTTATCTTGGTACTAGAAGTTCCTCGTGAATAAAGTATAGGAATTTTGGATTCCATTTTGATGTTAGATGTTTCTTGTGACAATGGTTTAACCAAACGATCATCTTGAAAATTGTTATTTTCATTAACGATAGGTCTAATATTATTTCCATTATCATTGAAATTAATTTGTGATGTTATTTCACGTTGATTAACATTTATATTGTTTCCATTTTTATTCGATGTATTTATATTTTGATTATCACGAGTTATACGTGAATGACCATCTGAAACATAATAGTAAATTGCAATTGTAGTTAGTTGATCTTGTTTTCATATTTTATTAATTAAAAAATTGATTTACCATTGTGATTATTTATATCGTCAATTCGTTCTTCCAAACCATGAACATCATTTAAACGTGAAAAAGTATTCTCCTGAAATATAATTAATTAATATTAATTAATCATTGTCTCGTTTTCTAACCTTGATTATTTTTTAATTGATTAATTTACATTCGAATTAGACCTCGTCATAATTGAATAATAAAATAACGATGTTGCATTATCGTTATTAAGTGTGATATTATATTTAAAAATGACATGTATGTATATATATATATATATATATATATATATAATAAAATAATCTGTATAAATTTAATCAAAATTTTCTTACAATAATAATTCGATTAATTTATATGATTTTGACAGATGACAGATTTTACAAACATAATGGTTAAGTATATCTAACAAGAAATGAACATAATTTAAAACATTCACTTCTATATATATAAAAGAATTAGTATGGTAAATGTTACAAATGATATGCAAACTTGCAAACTGATATGTAATATGTGATTGTAATAAAAAAAAAATGTTTCAAGCTTAATCACGAAGCAACTTTAATTTCTAAAAAAAAAAAACAAGATAAAAAAATGCAAATTATACAACGTAAGCAAAGTTGTATTATAAACCGATTGTATGTATGTTATTTTTAGTGTAGGAATTTTTGTTCTCGTGTGACCTTAAAAGAACGAGAGAGAAAGAGAGAGAGAGAGCTTTCTTAAAAAAAAAAAAAAAAAATCAAATATATTTAAATAGCGTGATAAAATTGTTATCACGAAAATGCAAATGTAATTATTATTAGTGAATCATAAATATTCGTCACGAAATCTACCCACTGAGAGAATCAACTTTTATATCTATGTTCAACTTTTACGAAAGTTATTATTGCTTTATAAATATGTGGAATTCGTGAAAAAAATTGGACCCTCTGGACTGACTGGGACCAGGGGACTCGAACCACGGGCGACTGCTCTCTTTTAACCAATTGAGCTATTCAGAGCCCACCGACCAATCCTTTTCACGAATGCCCAATAAGTTTGGTATGGAGACGCTCGTCCCACACTAATAATAATTTATATATATATACTTATGTATTTATTTTACCTGATTTTGTGGTAATATTTGCCATACCACGGGTTTTTCATTGGTAGAACGTAAAGCTATACCACGAGCAAATAAATTTTGTCTGTTTGTCCATGGGCTTCCATATTTCTTTGCATTCTTATTTCTAAATAATAATAATAATAATAATAATAATAATAATAATAATAAATAATCTATTATATTATAATAATTTTAATTATGAATATTATTAGGTGAACCATGAGATCGTGCGATCTTTAAATTAACACTTTACATAGTAAATTTTACAGCAATCCATTATGCAGTTTTAAAGTAAAGTTTCAACGCAGTGAACGCATGAATTTTTAATTTCACCCTAATATTTATAAAAATCAAAATACAAATGACATAATTGCCTCAAAAAATTTCCCCTGTCAGGTTTGGCAGTTGAAATTTGACGTTTGCTACGTCCTGTACCAGGTGAAACAGAACCACTTCCGGCTACGATCCAATCAACGTCTGGTCCTAAATAAAAATGATGTGTTAATTTTTCCCCCCCCCAAAAAAAACAAATGTTAAAATATAAAATATAAAATGTGTTGTATTAGAAAAAAATGTAAAATATTGAACACAAACGGATAGATTAAGAATTGATCGTACGATTACCGGTTGCAATTTGTACGGTTGGTGAAATTTGTAAACCATAAACTACCAAACCATCGGCAGATACCAAAGGCAATGATTTTCTAGCTAGACGAGATCTTATAGCTGAAAACATAGCCTCACCATCGTGCCTACTGGCCGATGCTCTTTTCCCTGCTCGTAAAACCTCCTTTAAATAAAAAAATAAAAAAGACAAAAATTCTTAACTTAACATTTTTATTATTATAATATATAGTTTAAATTAAATTTTTAATTACCTCGGGTTCGTAAATTTGTGCTAAAACAGCTAATGCATCTAAAGCAGCTTGTCTTACTCTTCTACGTCTGTCAGCAACCATAAGTGCAACTTTATGCGCCACGGTTTCTACTTTAAATTCTGTACTGGGAAAAGTGACGAATGAGAAGATCAACAATTGCAATGCGTTCTCTCTCGTCTGTAAAAAAAAAAAAAAAATACAAACAAAGTAAAAAGAAAATGTCAAAATGATTACCAGAAATTAATTTGATTAAGTTATCAACTTAAACTTAAGTTATCTTGGTCGTCAGGTTTAAAAAAAAAAAAAAAACTTAATATTATTTACCTTAGCATTTCTAGCCCCGAGACATTGTGGTTGTAACAATTGTTCCAAAAGATACGATGGTTTTAATCTAAGCATAGCAATTCGTGCAAGTTGAGCAGCACTAGGCCCACCTTGTCTAGCCAATCCCCAAGCTAATTGACCTAATCTTCGTTTTAGTGCATCTTCCGTGACACCGGCAACAACGATCTAAGATTCAAAATAATATGCAATAATAATAACATCGTTAATAAGATGAAATAAAAACTAATGAGCATGTAGTTATTGCAATATTTCGAGAATGGGGGATTAAAAATGTCCCACCGTGAATTAAAATGGTGATGGGACACTTTTAATCCCACCCAAAGAGTTAAATGAAAACTAAAGAAGATATAAATTAGATAAATGTCAAATTCAGGAATGTTTGTAAAACATTTCCTAACATCTTTGTCAATTAATAATTCAATGTCTCTTAGATAGTACCTTTGCAACAGCTAAACCAGCAGCTGCTACCCGACAGCTCCTTTCACCGCCAAGCACAGCATGCAAAAGTGATCCTAATCGGGGTTCTATCGCGATTAGTGCTGAGGGTGTTCGTAATGCCGATGCTACTCTTTCCAGACCCCTTACACGAGCACGCCAATCCTCCTATAAAATACATTTAGATGACATAGTTGAATAATGTTTTGAAGATCATTAAAAGGAGTGTCAAATCTTATCATTTTAATTAATTACTACCATTATTTAACAAATAATATGTTTTCGATAAACAATTCAATCTAAAATATTCCCAAGTTGTTAAATCGTCATATACTTGAAGGCAACATTTGCTAGTCAAATTTTCAGAGAAGAAATTGATTTGTTCTAGAATTCTAAATTCATATCTAAAATTGAGCTATTTAACTCAACAACACAAGCTGTACAATTACGAATCAAAATTACGTAATTAGAAACTTAAAATATAATTCATAAAGTCGACATTGTTCTGTTTCTAGTAGGAATCATTTGAAATAATCGATATTTTGTGTTATGAGGGTATTATCATATTGTTACACGGGTCTATATGAAGTCTGCTAATGTCAATGTCCTCTTGATAATTTCTAACTATACGTGTATATTACGTGTTAGTTAAAAGAACACTTAGAAATGTATTCAATATTAGATATATATATCATTGATAATTAATAAATGAATCTAACAACTAATACAATATATACATCTATTTGTTCAATCATCATTAGTATTGTTGGTGTAATGATAAAACGTATGAGTACATGAGTTTAAACATTATCGATCGTTGCAGAAACATAGCAAAACGTTGTTGTAGTATAGCATCTGCATTACCTGTTCTAAATCAATTATTACATTTATTTGTTAAGTTATATTTAATAATTGTTAAGATAAAGTAACACTATCAAGGTGTGTACTGTAAAAGTACTACAAAGTGACTAGTGACTAGTCACAGTTACAAGACTAGTCTCAGTTAGTAGTTAAGTTATAACAAATTTATTTTGAATTTCATTATGATTTGAATATGTGTATCATGTTTTTAACATTTACTACACATAGTTAGAACAAATTTCTTTCGATTTGAATTTCATTATAATTTGAATCCAGTAATTTTGAATAAGACTCGACATAGTGACTCATCTATCAAATCTTTTAGATGAGTATGAGTAAAGTCTTTTTTGTAATTCGTCGAAAGTAAATTGGCATTGCAATTGCAACTTATTTGCATATACACGTTGGTAGAAATGACGCCTTAACGAATTGGCACGACACGCAACACCATGTTGTAACGTTATACATTACTTCCTAATTATTTTCTTGCAAGTTAGAAGTACCTATTCGTTCCCCCGGTTAATTTCGATTTCTTATTCACTCATATTTTCTTGTTAGATTGTGTGGAGAATTTTAGATGGTATAGGTGGTAGTATATAACAAAAAAGGGAATCTTTCATTTTCCTATCCTAGGAATATTCATATCAAAATCTCAACCACCCTTGAATCCTATCGCGATACTACCAACTCAACTAGGGGTTGTATTTTGAATAATTTATAAGTTGTAATTCATAGAAGAAAAAAATACTTAAAAAAAAAAGAAATGAAAGAGGGCGAGAAAGAAATAATAAAAAGGAATCTTTTCAACTTCGTTTTACATATATATATCAAAGCTTTGATTTTAATCTGTGAATAAATTTACTTAACTTTTTGAATTATGTGTGTGTGTGTGTGTATCTCTTAAAAGAAATATGGTAAAATATACAGAAAAAAAAGTGTATCAGTATACTTCTATTTAATATAATTATTAATTAAATTAAAAAATATTTATTAATTATTAATAAATAAATATATGTACATATGTGTAACCTTTTTTTTTTTTTTTTTTAAAAGCTTACATTTATCAGCAATCATTTGTCATATCTTGACAAGTTTTTTTTTTTTTTTTATTGAAACTTCACGTGGACCTTTTTTCGTCATTTTCTTCTCATAGAAAATGTAAACGAAAAACGTCATCGGATCGATTTCAAAACTGTTATATTTCTTTACATACTCTCTTATTCTACCGACACGTTGACAAGGTTACTCACGCGTTCATGAAAAGGTCTCTCTAGTACAATACATCCTTGAACTTACATTGAATGAATATAAAATATATGACCTAAACTAAAGTTTACGTGAAATGCTCGGTCATAGTTTCCCGAAAAAAAAAAAAACAAATTAAGAATATAACAGAATTAGTGAAATACAAGTAAATCTGATTCATCCATTCAATAAGTTTCAACTGCAACCAAACAAACATAATTAATATTCATGAGAATACTCGAAACCTCGAGACAAGACTTTCTCTTATTCAAATTTAAAGACTGGATGATTCATTCATTCTTTTAAAAAGAATATTTTTATTCAGTATTTTCATTTGTAATTGTAATAAAATTATTAGTTCAAACAATTAATATCATAATTTAAAATGAAAAATAACACAAGATTCATACATATATCTATAAATTGCTCTAAAATAATTCTTTTCTAAATAATTGATATGTTATATTTTATATACAAGGTGCAAAAGAAAATATATACAGTACTGTATTTAAGTTATCACGTAATCGGTTAGTCAGTATCGTACTTGGTAACCAAAGTGACAGATTTCTGAAGAAGAGTTCTTTGAAAATTCGTTTGTTATTTCTACAAAATGTGATTTTTTTTATTTTTTTTAAATGAAGAAGAATAAATCAAAACAAGATTAGAATGAAATGATTTGCATTGAATTAAATAGAAGATAAAATCACGCACGTGTAACTAAACGTGTAGTCATGCATCGATCGCAAAAACGTCTTATTAATCAACTAATCAAAATAGTAATTGTGTGCGGTTTAATCTTGATATTATTTAAATTAAATGTCACTATGAAAAATAATGAAACCGAGCCTATATTAATTTTGACAGATTTATTGGTAAGTAGATAAATAATCCGATTAGAATTTGTTTTATTTATTGTTGTTTTTTCTTCTTTTTGTTTTTTTTTTTTTTTGATAATAAAAATGTTACGAAAATGTTAATAAAATTGTTGACGTTGTATCGAATAGAATGAAGCGGATAAAATAAATAAGGAAAGATTATTAATCGTAGATGAAGTATGTAAAGAATACAAATTAGGTTTTTACAAAGATTCTAACAAAGTTTTGTTTAAACATCCACCCGTACCACAATACAGTGTTTTCTATATTGTTAGGTTGGTACACAATAAATTAAGAATTATTTTTTATAAATGAAATTTTAAAAATATATTTTTTTTTAAATTATTTTAGAGATCATAACATTTCATATTGTCCATTATATAAAGCAAGTAGTACAACTTGGTTATATAATTTATGTTTGTTAATGAACGTATCAGAAGAAGAATTAAACAATGGTAAAGAACAATTGTCAACCATTGCTAGAAGAGTCATAACTGAATTAGAATATCCTGAAGCTGAAGAGGTAAAATATGATTTAAATATTTTAAATATTAACTTATTGTCACTCATAACTGAATTAGAATATCCTGAAGTTGAAAAGATAAAATATGATTCAAATATTTTAAACATTAACAATTAAAGATATAAAATATTTGAACAGGCATTGAGAAATTCAAAAAAATTATTAGTGGTAAGACATCCATTTGAAAGATTGTTGAGTGCTTATCGTGACAAATTGGAAAATTCTGTTGCTGGTCATGAACATGGAACTTTACATTTTTATCAAAAATATGGAGCAATGATCGTTAGAAAATATCGTAGTGAGTAATAATATTCAAATAACATATAATAAAATAATAATAATAAATATATATAAAATACATTTTCAAGAAAAAAAAATAAAAAACACAGTCTAGTTAGTTATCTAGTTACATTTTTATATGATCTTTTCATTCTAAAACAACTAATAAATATTAAATTAATATAAAATAATAAAAAATATATATATATATATATATATAAACAACTTATTAATTAATATATTTAAAATCATGAAGATTTTGTATCAAATTTTCAGCTTAATGAAATGATTGATCAAATGTTACTTTACTTTTCACTTTCACAATAAGTTACCTCAATATTTCAACTACCTGAATAGTTACATTTATAATTTATATTATAATACATACAATATTTATAAATATATATTTATTTATACTGAATTCATTTTGTATAGGTAAAAATTTTGTAAAACCACGTGACGATGAAATAATAGTACGAAAGGGTGTTCAAGAACCAGCAGGTATCGAACCAACATGGCGAGAATTTGTTGATTATTTAATAAACACGGATTTGGCTAATTACGGTGATGATCATTGGATTCCATATTATCTTTATTGTACACCATGTTTGATTAAATACGATATCATTGCTAAGGTTCGTTTAAAACATAATGACTTAACAAATAATTATTTAATATTATTAATACTGATTAAATATGTGTCAATTAATTCAGGTTGAAACATTATCGAGAGATCAAATTTATGCATTGAACAAATTAGGATTGGATAAAAAGATTAAACCAATTTGGAGACATGGTAGTGGTTATTCAAATGCTTCCAGCATATATTTCAAACAATTGAGTAAAAAAATGGTTGAACAACTTTACGAAAAGTTCAGATTGGATTTTGAACTGTTTGATTATTCTCCTGATAATTATTATAGATATGCCAAAGCCTCGGATTAAAAAAAAAAAAAAAAAATATGAACAAGATAAAGTAAAGAGTAATTATGTAAATAATATCTGATAAATATTATCGATTAATAATTATTATGAATTGGATAAAAGTCAAAAGAGAAAGGAAGAAAGTGAGTGAATGAGAGAGGAGGGGAAAGAGAGAGAGAGAGAGAAAAAAAAAATGCAAAATTTGATGAAAATTTTTACGCGATCCTGTAATTAATCGAGTTTTAAATCGCGTTACGCCACGCGACGAACGAAACTTTTGTCGACAAAATCGATTGACCTACTTACTTCCAACAATAATGTATCGGAACGATCTATCCCTAAACCCCAAAAGGTTTGAAAACTTAACTAGCGATGATACCTCCTTAATGACTATCATACAATATTCATTATCATATACATCCTTATTAATACTATATGACTCAATGTAGAATATATTTTGAAAAAAAAAAAAACAAGAAATCTAGTTAGATATCTAGTTACATTTTTATATAATCTTTTCATTCTAAAACAATTTGTTAATTAATACATTTAAAATTATAAAGATTTTATTAAAATGCTTACCTTGTTATGCAAGTCATCCAAAACTTCACGATTAACCAATCCCAATTCTTCCCAACTTGGTTCCTGTGATTTACCCTCGTTCTTGTTGTTGCTTGGTGTTGTGCCACCACCACCACCACCACCACCACCACCACCATTATCACCACCATCATCACCACAAGTAACGTTTCCATTTCCTTTATCATGACCTGTTTTAATTCTATATCGTATTTCGTCGGATTCGTTGGAAGTTTTCCTCGAATTCAATTTATTCACCGAATCAACACTTTTGTTAACTGATAAACATGAATCACGTGAATCACGTGAATCACGTTTCAATGTTTTCGAACTATGAATCTTACGTGTAATATTAATTGATTCACGTTCATTAGATTTGAATCCTGACTTTGTTGGTTGATTAATGTTATCCTTTGTCTTTTCATCAATTTTCAAAGATCTTTCATCGTCACCATGATTCAATTCGCTCGAGACAATACTGTTATCGTGTTTCGTATCAAACGTAGATAAAAATCCATTATTATCAGTAATATTTTCATTGGACAAACGTATATTGGTTTGATTTTTCATCGATGACATTTCAGGCATATCATTATTATTATTATTATTATTAAACGATTTATTATCTTTATCTTTAGTTTTGATCTTTTGTTTGAATTCTTTCGTTTGATAATTATTTTCAATAACTTTCATAGATGGTACGCTGAACGATCTAAACAATTTTTTATCAACATTATCATTGCCATGATCATTTTCTCGTTGTATATCATCGTTGAACGATTTATCTTTGTTCAGATTTTCTACGAACGATCGATTAGATTCAACGTTATTTAATTTTGGTGATAAAGATCGATTAAAAACCGTTTCTATTGATTTGTCATTATGTTTATCTTTGTTATCGTTCAACGAAGTTTGACGATCGTTCGAATCGATAAGAAAAAGTGGACTATTGGTTCGCGTTAGGATACCTTTTTTTGGACTTAGGTCAGCATTATGTGTATAAAATTCTCTTTTAGGACTATTCGAAAGTGATCGTGACAATCTTTGATCAATTTTACGTCTAACAAAATGAGGACTATTTGGTTGTGATATCGATCTACGACGTGATCGTTCAGATGGCATTTTTGTTGCAGGTGAAACTGGTAGGGGTATCCTAGTTTTCGTAGAAACTATTACAACCGATTCGGTATCATCGCTATCGGGTGTTCTCAATTTAACAATTTCACCACCAAAGTGTACTCGTCTTGGCGTTTTTCTCTTATCGTTACGTTCATTGGTTATTATTTCCGTTTCGTTTCTAACATCTGTACCACTTTCTTCAGCTTCGTCATCTTCCTCGCTATCGTTCGTTGATTTTTCTTCCAAAATTGTCATAGTTATTGCAGTCTCTTCGTTGAATTTTATTTCAGTTTCCAATACCACGCGTGCCGGTGGTGGTGCAGATGAAGGTACAGTTCCTGCATCAACAATTTCATCTTCTTCCTCAACAATACCGGATGTATCACTATCGCTATCCCATATTCTATCATTAGGTTCAACTTCATCATCATTATCTTCTTCTAATTTATTCATTTCTTTTCTTTCCAAAGCTAACTTAGTTTGGTGGTTCTTCTTACTAGATTTAACGTTGTAAACCTTGCAGAGAACTTCCAAGTGTTTTTTCAATTCGCCATCGTAACCGGAAATAATGTCGTCGAATTCACCTTTGCCAATCGTATCGCGAATTTTCATCAATGATTTTAAAATGGCTTCTTGATAGGTAACTTGGGTCAAACGGGATGCCAAAGAAAATGTCACGTATTTGATGATATCTTTGCTAGGACGTGTAGTATTCGATGATGGGAATAACAATGATGGTGCACTTAATATAACTCCTGTTATCAAATTAGTTTGGAATACGTCCTGTGCATCACGTCGATTAAAACCATCCCGAAATATCTAAACAATTATGTACACGATTTTATATCATAAATCCAAATTTATTATCAACCATTACGTCAAAGTTTAACCATATTCGTGACTGACTTTTGTTTGTATTTAATTATAAATATTTCTTCATTAGAATGCAATTAGAAATTTTCAAAATGTCGATCACGAATGTGTTAATTATTTAATCCCTTTGAATCCTTACATTTTTAACGATCCTTTCTCTATCGAAACAATGTACGAGGTAAACCCTCAATGCGTCCAAAGCACCCTTACGTACGGCCGGTGCTGCATGACCTAAATTATTTAACAATTCTGGTACCACCGGTTGCATTACCTCATCGACAATTTCTGCGGATAATGTTGGCATCACGTCCATTAAAACACGAACTGCGTGTTGACGTACCTCCCATTCTGGATCTCGCAATCTTTCCGATATTTCAACGAAGATCAATCGTGTATCGATTTCTGTTGGAAATCTTCTCGTTCGAACCTGTTTGAATTATGTTTTTCTGTTTTTGTTTTTGTTTTTGTTTTTTTTCTTCTTATATTTTCAACTGTGATTTTTCTCGTGTTATAATAATAATTCATTTTGTTTTTATTTGATTGATTTATCAATATTTTCAAATGAATGATCAATTAATTATAGAAATATAATTCAATAAAATGAATACCAATCACATCATTTTTCACAAGCAAAAACAAAAAAGGCCAAAACTATATAATAAAGAATTAAAATAAAAAAATATGAGTAAACATTTTTCATTTAATACGAACCACATGTTCCCAAAGTGGGGTCAGTTGTATTGGTGTACCAGTCGGTGGTGGTAATGGAGTCATCTTCCGACGAGGCTGATGATGTTGACTTCGTTCCTCGTTCACGAATGAATCGTGTGAAAACAATGTTGTCCTTGTAGGAATTGGCGAGGTTTCCTGGGGCCTTAGGCCCTCCGAGCTTGTAGATCCTGTCATAGATGTCGAACCGATGGAACACACGAAAAACTCGGATACTCACGTTTCGTTTCGTTGAAACCATCTGTTCTTCATCCTATTTTTCTTCTTATTATTCTTCTTCTTTTATCAAGGATCTTTTTAACAAATTTTTATCCTGTTGAATAAATTAACGAAACTATTTTTCAAGTGAAAACTACTTTAGAATGGGTGTGATTGAAGGTGTTTTATTATTTACTTTCTTTGTAATTATTGTAAAAATGTGCACCTGTATGAATGCAACCCTCCAGACACACTTTGAAAATGTTACTTGCGAGCGCCATCTACTGGGACGGAATTTTTTTGTCTGCCCGAAAGATAGGCAACCCGTCATACATACGTGTATAAACAGTTTTGACTGCAAAAAAGTTCCGTCCCAATAGATGACGCTCGCAAGCAACATTTTCAAAGTGTGTCTGGAGGGTTGCATTCATACAGGCGCGCATTTTTATAATTAAATTAATAATTAAATAAATAATTACAAATTAAAAGTACAAATAATATTATATAATAAATTATTCTCAAAACTTATTTATTTGAAGATTTCACTTCTAACTTGTGTGATATGCACACATGTTTTTTTAATTTTTTTCTTTATCATAATTATCGTTCGATTTTTCCAAGAAAGTTTTTAAAACGATCCAATCTACAAAAACCATCATCACAATAACATTTTGTATAATTGAGAATGACCCGTATACTAAAATAAAAATCCTATTTACCAATGCTGTATAATTTACTTAACTCTCTTTAACAACGACCATGATGTTTCCTTATTTCGTTATCGTTTCTAACTATACCTATATACTTCTTATTATTTTTTTTTTTTTTTTCGATATGACACGACTCTTTTTTCATTCACGTGTCCAGAACAAAATATACTGGCAACAATTACGTAGAAAGGGTGACTTACCTTATTACCAACAATATGAACACGTTTTATCGAACGATTTTTATGATATATGATATTTTTTCTTTTTTATGAGCTAGTATGATTACACATATATATATATAATATACCTGTGGGATCTGTATGTGTATGTGTATTCATATTATATATAGGGATAGAGTTTGATTAGAATATTGCACTTCAACCCTCTTGTTATATTCATCGAGTTAGAACCAATTTATATTTAAAAGCAACAAGGGGGATGTTCGGATAGCATCGGGGTACTTTATTAGTTATTATAAATTTATCAGCATCCTCTCTCTCTCTCTCTTTCTTTTTCACCCCCTTTTTCGAGGTGTACTTTAAAAAAAAAAAAAAAAAAAAAAGCGACCTACCGAACGGGGGAAAAACTTGTGCCAAGTTTATCGTCAAATCTCACGACACGAACTTGGATGGTATAAAAGTAGTACACACGAAATGCACGATTGCATAACCAAAAGAAATTCACCCCCGTATAATATACAGAATGAGATAGTGTTTGTAACTGTACTTACATTTTCTCGAAACGTTTTACGTTTGAAAATTAGAATACAAAATTGCGAAGAGAAATAACCCAACCCAAAAAAAATATACAAACTTAAGGTTTTTAATTTCTCTATAAAAAAAAAATGTTCAATAAATAAATATATATGTTTGTATATTAGCTCGAACGTTTAGTTATGTAAAATTTTAGTCCAATACGCTAATGGTTAATTAAAAATGACGTTAACTGTCATAATTATTCCAATTTTGTATTAATTATTATTGTTTAAATTAATATTTATTAACTTAAACAATAATAATTATTAAATAACCCTTATGTTTTTTTTTTTATTAACTTACTGTATATATTTACTATTCTCATTTCTTCCTACTGTTGTTGTTGTTGTTGTTGTTGCAATTGTTTCACCAATCATAATTTTTATTTAAATAAAATAGAAAAACGAAATAATAAAATTTGTAAGTAAGTAAAAATTAACAAATTAAATAAATAAATGAATTATATTTATAATGGTGGATATACACGCGCGTATATTTGAGGAAACGAAAGTGTGCTGACTACAAACTTGTATATCCTCACTTGACCACGACCGGCATGTGACTATTGCCCCTGTTCCTCGCAAGCATGGTGGTTCAAAAGTAATATCGACCATTTCATCCCCACTTTTAGTAAAACTGTTTCTAACTTCTTCAACCTATTACTTCGACGTTAGAAGAACGAATACCAACTTCGATCAACTTTTTCTTCCTTCTTTATAGCCTGTTTTTCTTTTTTCCATACTCAAAGTAAATGCAAATAAGATTGAAAATGGTGCTACATCTAGTGTTATTTATCATTTTATAATTATTTATGCTTCAAATAAATGAAAAGATTTGTTTTTTGTATGCAATTCGAAACTTTGTAGCTTTTCTTCGAAGGTCAGATAAACAATACCTCTTTATACCTCCATTATCGATGTTCAATATTTATCTCCCCTTTAGCGTGACTCCCGATTGATCATTTTATTATTAAAAAGCAGTCACGAGATTTTCTCTTTTAATAATTCTTAACTTCTCTAGTTATTTCAAGTAGTACACGTTAACAAAATGTATATTAAAACTATGAAATTATTTAACAGTTTACAATTGTTCTTCTCTTTTTTTTTAAATTATTTTTTTATTATTATTAATAAAAATTTACAATTTATTTAATTATTATTTTGAAGCATATTTTGTTTTTCTTTTTTTTTTTTTTATAAGTATTCTATCGTCCATTGTTTTATTATTTGATCAACATTTCAAGCGAGTGTTTGTTGAATGAAAATAATTGTATTAATAATCTTCTTAATATATATAAATTAGATGTCACGTTGTTTGTCCGCAATGGATTCCTAAACTACTGAACCGATTTTAATCAAATTTTACACCCTGTGTGTAGTTTCATTCAACTTGACAGATAGGATAGTTTATTCTTATTTGTTTATTAACAAAGAGTCATGATTATCTCGGTTAGTTCGATAAGATTCTAACAGATTATGGTATAAGATAATTCGTTGACTTAAAGACATTTTTTTAAATGAATATTTTTATTTTTAATAAAATTATAATAATCTTTGTGACATGTTCGCATTTTGAATATTCCAGTTTGGTAACAATATGTTTCTATTCTACATATGTAATCTATAATTATATAGAATGTATCAGGACTTTTCAAAATGTAGATAGCAACCCCATAAAAGAGGGTGGTCGCGACTCTCTAACTAAATTCGTAATTTTAATGCAATTGTAAAATTATATTCGTGTATATTAGACAAAACTGTTTTAAAATAAAATTTCTTTGCAATTTATTATCAACAAACGTTTGAATATTTTGCGACTAGAGTAAATAGGATCACCAAAGTGAAAAAATTGAAGACAAATTTCTGACATATATTATATAAATCAACAACTTTGGGAATTAATTAATTCATTAAATACATACATATATATATATATTGGTGTATTTGTACGACATATGTTTTCACACGTTTGTACGTATAATGTCCTATATATATATATATATACTTTCTAATAAGTAATATAAATAACTATTATTATAAATTCTATAAAATATATAAATATCACATTCACATATTCTTAGTTAAATCTTTGATTATTGATCGTTAAATTAAAATAAACTAAATATTTGTTCGATAGAATAAAAATACTTTGTTCAAATAAAATAAACTTATTATTTTAAGTTTTATACTGATTTGAAATTAATACTTTCTATATATATATGTATATTATAATATTCTAATAGCTTTACTCTTTTTGACTATATTGCTGTAAGAATTCATTCATTCATTCATTATTATTATTATTATTATTATTATTATTATTATTTTTATATTTAAATAATAATCTAATTTGTGTACGACATTTGTTTTAAACCAATAATTGTTTAGATTCTATTTCCTTTGGTTTTTCATTATTAACCGGATTTTGAGAATACAAAATTACAGAATAACTAACCATGGCAATGGATATTACTGTATTTATAAAAATAGGTATATCGAATATAAGCCAACATAAAACTGCTGTAAATACTAATTCTAATGCACTAGCAAATGTCTTTAATATTGAATTTAAATTTTTCAAAAAGAAACTTGTTATTATACCAATGGCTGTATTGTTAAACATTATTATTATTACTTTGGGTTGCATCAAGATACTAGATCCGACATTATTAAATATACCGGTAACATTAGTTTGAAATGTTATTAATACTAAAAATACTATAACGTTACATAAAATACTATCAATGTACATGAAGACATTTTGTACAAAAATATTAATGTTAGCTCCTTTCTTGAGTAAATATTCATTATAAACGCCAGCTAAGCATGAACAAAAAGTCTGTAAGATAAAATGTTTAATTATTTATGTAATAACCAACATACGTTTTATCAAACAAATATATATATATATATATACAGGGTGATTCACCAGCACTTGCTATCTAAATACAATAGCATAGATATATATATATATATTAGGTCAAGTCATAAGTAACTTCCGTAGAATCTATTTTTCGTATTTACCTACTATAAATCACCGAAACAAACGGATTTTCGATATCACTGTATAGATGAGGATTCAGTTTTAGTCTTCTGTCAACTTTTTGATGTAGTCAATGTTACATTTAACCATTTTTCTTAACCACTGAAATGGATAGCAAAAAGTACATATACGACATGTAATGCTTTAGGAATTGAAACAAGACAATAGCACTAAAGTGGCAACTGAAAAAATATACAGCGTATACAGTGCAGGACTGATAACTGATAGGGCAGTCAGAAATTGGTTTGTAAAATTCTGTTCTGGAGATACGATCTTAAAAGATGAACCAAGTGCAGGACGTATTTACCGACTTTGATGAACCTTTTAAAGGTAATATTGAGAGCAAAATCCAATAGATACGTTGAACAATTGCAAAGAGTGCAAGAAAAAACTCCATGAAAGGTGTCTTGCACTTATCAGTCGCAGAAACGCCATTCTTTGTCTCATAAAAAACGAAAGTTATTTATAACTCGACCTAATATAAGTATTATATTTTAAATATATGACTAACCTGAATAAAGATGAGATATATATTTTTATTTAGTACAAATTTTGCACTAATATTCCCATCAACGCTAATATTTAAATGTTTTATCATACAACCAAGGGTCAACAATACTAATGACAGCCATTGTTTTACAGATAATTGTTTTTTGAATATAACCTGAACAAAAAAAAACAAAAAAGAATATAATATATATTAGAAAATATCATTGATAAATAAAAATAAATGTATAAATGGTTAACCTGAAATATAATTCCTGTCATAACAACACGAAATTGCAATAGAACATAGTAAGTTGTTGGATCAAATGCAGCCAAATTGATAAATGCCAGATTATTATACAGGCAATATAAAAATGATGGTATTAAGTATAATAGAAGCACTAAAAATATAAAATAACAATTGTTTAAAATTTCAATGTTATGTTATTAAATGTAATCTTTTACATGACTAATTACATACCCTTTTTATGCGTTGCTATTTCTTGAAAAAGAGATAATATTTTATTACTGTAAACATAAACAAATGTTTTTAAATATTTATTTAATAAAATTAAAAAGATTTGTTTTTCAATGTACTTACTCTTTCCAATATAAAACAGCTGATACAATTAATTTCAAAACTTCTGTTAACAATACCACTGTTACAATATTGTATTCGTATTGACCATTTTTTTGAGACCATGTTACAATTATTCCTGTAATATATATATATACACATATAAACAATATAAACAATAATTTGACTTTAATTAGTCAACAAGTAAATGCATGTAAATAATCACTTTATAAATTTATATAATTCTTACAAAATAATATAATTATATTTAAAAAACAAGAAGTATTTCCATAAATATTACTATTTTTCATAACATTTATCATATTACAGTAAATAAATGACAAATGTGAATGAATTGAAAATAATAACTTAACCTCAAATTTACCTTGATTAATAAAAAGTGCCATATAAGATAGAAAAATAAAAGGACTCCATCTTCCTGGAAACAATTCTCCCCAATTTATAGATCCCATATTAATAATTATTTATTTATATTTAATATAACATTATTTTAAAAATATAAAATATTATAAAATTACATGTTTTTAAAAGTATTAATACAAAACAAACGGACGTGAGAAAGCCGCTTAATAACGTTCATTCGTTATCTACAATAGTTCTATATTATCATTTCTTTCATATCAGTATTAAAACAAGAAAGGTAATCATTTTACTATTACTTATCAGTCAATTTTGTCATTTTTAAATTTGTACATTATGTTAAATCATGTTTTTATTTTTTTTTTTTTTTTTTTTTTTTTTAATTGGAGATGATAACACATATCCTCTGATAAATATGATGATACCTCAAAAAAAGGTTTTTTCTTTTCTTTTCTCTAAACAAAACAAAAAAAAAATGAACAGGTGAATAGATTTACTTTTTAAAAATAAGATTCTTCTTCTGTTAAATTGTTTTGCTGTGACTTATAATTATTTATTATACATAGTCTTCTATAATACATATATTCTTATTTACATTTCCATAATAATGTTTCGTCTAATTATTTTAAATGTTATTTCTCTATGAATAAGTTTAATGTATATTTATATATCATTGTTAATTTATGTAATTTACTGTTTGTTAAATATTTTATTTAAGATGTTCTTCTTTGGAAGCTCAAACATGAAATTTGTTTTCTTTTGTTTTCTTTTCTTTTGTTTTCCTACTTATATTGTACAAATGTAATATTTATATAATATAATAACAGTATAATATAAATTTAATCCTTTCGCTACTATGGACCACTATAGTGGTCCTCCATAAGATGCCACTGAGATACTATGGGCCACTATAGTGGCCCTATTTTACATATGACGAACATATGCAGTTATAGCACTAAGTCAAATATCCCACACTGGGCATGTAATTTTAGTGTTTTGTTTTTTTTTAATTAAAAATCGTTAATATCAACAACAAAATTATTTAAAAATAAACTGCAATTTCGATGCTGCACGTATTAACAGCCCGTTACAGTAGAAGTAGCACCGCAGAAAATACGCCCATAGCGAAAGGATTAATTTCATTAATTAGTATTCAAAATTATGTAGCTAAAAACTGATGTAAATCAATATTACAAGCCAATTTGTTTAAAACAGTCTTTCTCTACTTAAGTCTGTGATATAAATCAGTGTATAATAAATAAACAAATAAATCTATTAATGCGTAAGAGACTGTAATTTACAGTATTTATTAATTCGATTATAAAAGTAATAAATGTATTATTATTTTTTGTTTTTTATTTGTGAGAGCATAGAAAATTATGAATTAGAAATATTTTTATCAAGATACTTCTTAATTAGACTTTAAGGATCAATTTTTTCTTTACTTTGAAATAAGTTTATGTATATTTATTTATATATATATATATATTGAAGAAATAATGATTAATTTTCCTAATAGCAATTATTTTATTAAACATTTCATATTTATCGTAAAAATGGAGTTTTATATGATAAGAATAAAGGCAATACAAAGTCAGTACTATTTTGTTTGAATTTTTTTTTTCAATAGATTCAACTAGATTTCATATGATTCATATAATATTGTAATATTGGTATATATATGTATTATACTAATAGCTTATGTCAACAAAATTTAAATGGACATTTTTTTATGATATTCAAAAAGACAAATATAATTTCACAAAAAAGAATGATAACATTTTTTATGTTCAAATTTTAAAATTAATTAACACATTTTGTATGAATTTATTTTTTTTCTATATAAAAAACTTATTTTTTCACAAATCACTAATGTAAGACAAAATACAATACATATATAATTGCGTTACATCATAATTATATAAAATGAAAATATCTTTTAAAATGAATGATTAATTTGCCTTTGAGTAATATAACACTCACATCATTCATTTAAGTTAATATTTTAAGTACTTTAAATAATGTAAACTTGTAATAGAAAATTTCAACGATATCTCATAGATTTATATTGATACCATGATAATTATATTACGTTTAGAAATGTTGAAGAATGAATTATAATTTGCTATTCGATTATATATATATTGTTTTTTTATTTTGAGTTTTTGTAATACGTAAGTTGAAACTTAAATAGTGCCAACTATTTATTCACAAATGATACAAAAGAGTTACATGTTTGCACCTGTTACTATCATTCAAAGTAGTCACCAGTGTTGTGTAGAACCCGTTGCCAGCCATGTGGAAGGCGTAGCATACCGTCAGCAGAGCCTGTTTTGTTGATGGTGCGAATGGAACAGTCTACTGCCATGTCTCATCCAGTGATACGATACGGCGTAAGAAAGCCTCTCCTTCACGCTCATAGTGCCCTAAGTACGTCTGAGCAGCTTTGTAACGCATCCATTACTGTATTTCGTCAATTCATGCGAAACCCATCGTGGCATTCGCTTCAGAACTGTTTCAGAGATTCGACAGGCAGTAGACCACTTCATTTGCACCATCAACAGAACAGGTTCTACTAACGGGTTCTACACAACGCTGGTAACTACTTTGAAAGACAGTAACAGGTGCAAACATGTAACTCTTTTGTATCGGTTGTGAATAAATAGTTGCCACTATTTAAGTTCCAATCTACGTATATTGAAGCCCTCAGTCTTGCATGTACATTATGCATTAAGAACTTGTTAAAATCTATTAAATAGAATCATAGTTTCTATCACAGCCAGTTTATAAAATTTGTGTGAAAAATAAAATGAAATGAAATGAAATATGTTTTTCCTATATGGCATATATGTTAAATATAAATATAAAATGGTATATGTGTGTGTATCAACATTATTGAAGGCAAAATGTGTTTATATGAAAGCTACTATTAAATGTTATATATAGTCAATATTTCTTTTCCTTATATTTCACATATAATGATTTATTAAAAAAGAAACAATTTAAGTTCTTCGCATAATGTACAACATGACAAATTTTTGACTAGACTCGGGCCATTAGCTCACAACGCAAGGTTTTATAAGTTATCCTATAATACAATAAAAATCTATGATTTTGTAGATATATATATGAAATATATGAATTGATCCAAAGAGAAATTATGTAAATTCTTCATTATTATTAATTATAATAAATGTTATCATGGTCTACCGATTTTGTAGTACCTTATGAATTTAATTATGTTAACTATTAAAATAAATATGTATATACTGTATTAAGCAGAGATAAACATTTATAATATTTTATATTTATGTATATATAAGATAAATTAAAAACTTTATAATAAATATATTATTCACAAATGAATTTATTCTGCAATTAAAATCATTATATACTATAATTCAATTATTATACTCATTTAGAACTTACATTACTTTCGTTAGATGGTTCCAATTGTTTTAGAATTTGTTCTGTGATTAATGTAGTTGCTTCGCTAGCATTAGGTATAAGAAATTTATCCATATCTGTGATCACTGTATGATTAAATTGTGTAGTACCATATTTGAAAGTAATTAGGTCTGAATGTCGTTTTCTGGACGTTATTTTAACAATACTAGTTAAAGGACGTTTAACAATTACGTGTGCTGCACCTTTACGTTCTTGTATCTCACGGAGTACAATGAGATGACTATCAGTAATTAACAATAAGCTGTAAAACGAAAATTTCGAATAAATACATATCTATCTCAGTCAATTGAAATTAAAATTTGATTTACCTATTACAAAGGTCTCCATTAACTTTAACTTCTTTACACTTGAAGGAATGTAATAATTTAGGATCTTTCATCCATTGTTGGATAGACACAACCTCGATAGGTTCTTCACTTTCATTATTGGTCATTGTCATATCTAAAAAAAAACTTGCATGTGTTTTCAATAAGTATATATATATCTATATAAATAATTAAAGTTTTGATTATTAACTCACCTAATTCTTGATCATCATCAATACTAAAAACTGGTGGTGTTTTTCTTGATCGTCTAATATATTCTACATCTTTATTACCCCTCATATCCATATTACTATTAACACTTGCAGAAGGATTAACTATATAATCAAAAAGTTTTCCTTTTACTTTTTGACTCTTCAATCTCATTACCATACCAATTTTTCCAAACAGATCGATATTATTGTTCTTAGTTTTATTTGGAGTTGCTTCGTTAGAATTAGTCTCCGACATGTTTGCATTACATACCAAACAATGTTGCGAATTATGATCGACCAAACTAGAAACCACTTCGTCTCCAAAATACTCATGTATTGCTACAAAATTTTAATACAATCTATTATTATTATTATTATTATTATTATTATTATTATTATTATTTTGATGCCATATCAAGTGTCTATATTTAATGCTATATTAATGCTAAGTTTCTCATGTTTAGAAGATATGTATAGAATATATTTGATTATACCTTGATACCCTGAAGTAACCATGCTCACATATTGAGTGTGTTTTTGCAAAAAAGAAGCCACTACCATATGAGTATATCGATCTTCCTCTTGTCTGCCACTACCTAAAAAGACAAGATGTTCTCCTCCTGCGTAACAACCAACAGCTATTGCATGACGTTGTGCTTGTAATAATCCTTGTACCGCAGTAGCAAATGCAGCTGGTTCTTGTAACATCTAAAACAATAATATATATGTTAATATAAATTTTATCATATAGTATTTATAATAAAAAACATACCAAATTACAGTCCAAATGAAATGCAGTTGGCAAATGTCCTGCATTATATTGTTCTGCAGGTCTACAATCAACTAAAAAAAATCTAACCGATTCAACAGAATTGTTAGACATGGGCGGAGTTTCAATAGTATTTTCTACTAATTCTTGTGCAGATACCGGTAAACATAAAGCATGCGATATCAATTTATTTTCATAATTATCACCAAACATAACAGGGTATAGGTCGTGTTTAAAAGACGATGGCGTTTTCATTGCATAATATTGTGCTAATGAACAAAAATCTGTTACATCTTCAGCTTCCAAAGCACATGGCATCATTGATATGGCATTTATTATACTTTCTTTATCTTCATCTTTCATGCTTAATATTTGCTCTCTGTAGAAAAATATTGAAATGAACGAAATGATTTAATTGAAATAATAATTTTATACAATTAAGTAAAAAATTAATTGTGTTTTCTAACCTTGCATTTATTACCATTATAAGAGAAAGAAATAACATAAAAAAAGGATCAGCTTGCATGAAATACAAATCCCACATTGTACATACAGCTGGTAATGAACATACACCAGCAAATAAAGTATTCACCCATCCTTTTGCATATTGATCAGGTGATACCCTTTTTGTATCCAAAAAGGAACACAATTCTGGTTCATGATATAACAATAATAGTCTTAATACAGCACTGTATATTTCACCTCTGTAAAATACAATGAACGTTATACGTATTGAAATAATCAAATTCATATGATAATAAAAATTGTTACCTTGGAATATATAACTCTTTTATTGCCTCAAATAAATTGTATGTTGATGCGCGTGGTAATTTTAGTGCTACTAACGGACCAAGTAATTCTAACCAACCATTTCCTTTTTCATATTGTACTCCTTTAGTTTTACAATAATATGTTATAATTGATTCCAAATCGGAAACAACGAACACTTTATCTTCATCCTCATTTCCAAGTTTTGCTATATTGATAATGAAAAACAAAACTCATTGAATTGTGAATTATTTCATGTTGAAATAATACAAATATGAAACAAACTTACCAACAAATTCTACGCAATCTTCTCGTATGGTATTTTGTTCCGGTAAATCAAATACTTCATTAAATTGACTTAATTGATTACCTCGATCAGCAACATCTAAACATGCTTGCCAAACATCTGGTCTAAGATCTTCAGGTACTGCTTGACCTCTGCATATTGCATAAATATCAGACGCAGATGGTGCTTCAGTATCAAGCAATGCTGCTTCTAATTCCAGTATCCTAAATTATTCATTAATTGTAATTAATTCATTATTCAAACAGATATTTTTATTATCTCAGATAATTCTTGGTTATTATATTTCAAACTCATTATTAGTAATATTTATTCATGTTATCATAAATGTGTGTTAGCAAAAGTATATATAGGTGTGTGTGTATAACAGAAAAATAAATAAGAGATAAAGAAGCTTTAAATTAACTGATAGTATTCACACATAATTATTGAAAGTAAAAAAAATATAATGAAAATAAGCTCTACTTTGTTTAATTTTTAAAACAATTTATCAATAATAATATAGAATTGGAATTTTGTTTATTAGTTTTAAACAATATTTAAATTTATATATTAAAAATATTGATTTAAATGGAATAATAAATATTACGAAATATCTAAACATATTTACGATAAGTTGATAACTATATACATATAGAAATTTAAAACAAATTTTAACAAAATTATTTAAATATAGTAAATAAAAAATGTGACGTTAAATTATGTGTTAAACATAAATAATTGTTATAAAAACTACTGATATTAAAAAATAATATTTTCTTATAATGACGTACCACGTCTTGCCTTCCTCTAGTATTGCCATTTTGACTAGTGTCACTATTTAAACGAGATACAATATTAGCTTTAAAAAACGACACCTTTTAATTATATTTGCTTGCATATACTATATTACTTCGACTAATATGCATCGTTCAAAAAATTTGATAACTTTTGTGACGATTCTCTAACTTCATAACCTCTTCAAAATTTAACAAGCTTCTAACATGAAAGTTGATAAAGCATCGTTCCTGTTGACAGATCATCTTTTCTGCGCGTGCGCATAAAAAGAGCGCGCAATTTTTAAACGCATGGACAAACAGCGTTAAAATTTATATCCTGAAAACAAAGAATATTAATATAACGTTTTGTTTAATTATTTTATTATAATTTTACAATAATAATATTAAACATAATAATAATAATAATATGTTATTTAAGAAAAAACTAATTATCACTAGAACTATCCATCACAACGTTTCATTACAAAATTATTATTACATATCATTTTAGAATAATAAAAATAAATAATAGATAAAAGAATTGTAAATTTAAAACAATATAAATGAAACAATAAAAATTATCTTATATAACTTTGGAACAAATAAGAAAAAATGAGTAATACACAAGGGTATCTATGACAAAAGATAATTTCTCGATGCAGCGAGATAAAGAACTAAACGGTATTATAAGTTATAACGTTGGTAATCGTATACCCAAGGAAGTGAAGTAGTTCACGGTACAGATTAGTGTGATTAATTGTAGGGTGAAACGTATTTTGTAAAGGCAATGTAAGTTCTTCTGTATTAAAATAGATTAAAATTAAAACTGGAATGAACTAGAAAATAGAAGATTATTTTCTTTCATCTTTTATACGAATACAATTATTACGCATGATCGTAAAACTCTGTTTATTCAAACGCTCTCCAGCAGCGTATCGGTGTGAGCAACGGTGAAAGAGAAACAGAAAGACAGATAGAGAAAGGAAGAAAAATTAATAAAAAAGAAATAGAACAAGATAAAAAGAAGAAGAATTATTTTGGAAAATAATTAAATTATTCTTGATAATAAAGTATGCCAGCAGCAAACAGTGTGGGTAGTGTAACCAGCAGTGCCTTACCAAAATGGCAACTCGCTTTAGCGGTAGGAGCTCCGGTAGCTTTGGGACTTGGTTATATGTATTATAAAAATAATAAAAAACCATGCTCGGAACCAGAACGTGGTAAATCTAAATATGGCTCCCGTGAAAATGGTACTACTAATAAGAACGATAAGCAAATTTCAATCGATGGAGATTGCAACTCGAAGACTGAGAACACACCAGAAATTGAGGTTAGAAATATAATTACAAATTTCATTGATCGTGTATATTATCTTAATAAAACGTAAGATATATTTATTTGTAATTTAAAGAAACATGTCACATAATTCAATGTTTCATAGTGTATGACAGATTAATATTCATGACACATTAAAGTTCGCTTTTAATTTAATTAATGTCAATCAATTTTTAATATACTATTTATTCATTTATACTGTGAATTAAAAATCATTACTTTAATGATAATATTAATGAATTATAAACGAATAAAATTTTCATTGATTTATACTAAAAGTTCATTTATTGTAGACACCCTTAGAAAAGGCAAAAAAATTTAAGGACGAAGGCAATGTTCACTTTAAAATGGGAAAATTTGACGAAGCCATAACCTTATATAATAATGCCATCCATGCTTGTCCACAAGATAATAAAATAGAATTAGCTATATATTATCAAAACAGAGCTGCAGCTTACGAACATTTGGTACCAATTGTCTTCCTAATCGTATAGATAATCACTATTATAATCAATATGTATATATACACGAATTAAATATTATGTTATAGAAAAAATATAGCGCAGTAACAGCAGATTGTACGAAAGCATTAGAATTAAATCCAAAATACGTCAAAGCATTTTTACGTAGAGCGAAAGCTTTGGAATATACCAATGATTTAGAACATGCCTTAGAAGATGTTACCACTGCGTGTTTCTTGCAACGATTTACCAATCAATCTGCCCTAACAATAGCTGATAGAGTTCTTAAAAAACTTGGTAAATATTGTTTTTTATTGGAATATCATTTTGAAAACTTTCGAATCAAAGCTGAACTTTTCATATGTGTTTCCCTTTCGATTGAAAATAAAATGTTTATTTTTATAGGTAAACAACGTGCTCAAGAACATTGGGCAAATAAAAAGTTAATAATGCCAAGCAAGCATTTTATCAAAAAATACCTCACTTCGTTTCATAGTGGTGTAACAGAAGTTATTAATATTCTTTCATGTTCTACGGAACGCCCGTAAGTATTCATCAATGATTTTAATTGATATCTTTAAATAATTATATTCTTAATGTATTTTTCTCTAATACTTCAGAGGCTGTATGAAAATTACAAAAGCATTAGAAGATCAAGATTATGATAACATAATATCACTTTGTACAGATGAAATTGAAAACATACGATTACAAGATTTACCATTGAGATTGGAAATAATACTTCTAAGAGCAACATTTTATTTACTCTTAGGAAAACATGAAGCAGCATTAGAAGACTTTAACACAATTATAGATGAACCTGGTAATTCTACAAATACAGAAATAAGAATTAATGCTTTCATCCAAAGAGCAAGCTTACATATGCAACTTGATGATCCAAAAAAAAGTTTTGATGATTTTGAATCAGCTGTTAATTATAGTCCAGATTGTAGTGATATCTATCATCATAGAGGACAGGTAATATAATTACATATGTAATATTTTAAATTATATAAATGATATATATATATATATATATATTTTAATGTGAATAATTAATTTTAGTATTATATGAATTGTAGATAAATTTGCTTATGGACAAAATGGATGAAGCAAAAGAAGATTTTCAAAAAGCTGTTGATTTAAATCCTGATTTTGCATTGGCAAATGTACAAAAATGTTATACGGATTATCGTTATGCCATAAACAAGAGGGATGTACAAATGGTAGAAGTTTGTTTAGAAAATTTTAAAAAAATAATTGACAAATTCCCTGATTGTCCTGAATGTTATACATTGTATGCAGAGGTATATTAAATATTCTATGTTTATTTTATATTATAGTAGACCCTATTGCATACTATTATACATTATTATTATTATTATAATGTAACATTTTAAATATTCGAATATATCTATACATATCATTATATAATACAGGTGTTATCAGAAACATTGGATTATGCTTCAGCAGATAAATATTTTGCTAAAGCAATTGAAAAAGATCCATATAATGCCACTACATTTGTGCATAGAGGATTAATGCAATTACAATGGAGTAATGATATTAATAAAGCTGTCGAATACATAAAAGAAGCATTGAAAATTGATGACAAGTGTAAATTTGGATATGAAACTTTAGCAACGATAGAAGTACAAAGGTACATTAAATTTTTAATATTATACATAATTAATATATTTACATAATTGAATCATTTATTATGAAAGTGGTGTATAAGTAAATTCTTTTTTGTTTTTTTCACAATAAGCGATTCAATTGATGAATTTGACTTTAATTGATAAAATTGACTAATACTTATATCATATTTTATAGAGGAAATTTAGAAGAAGCAATAAAACTGTTTGATAAAGCTATAGAACTAGGTCGCACATCAATGGAACTCACACATATTTTCAGTTTAAGGGATGGAGCAAAAGCGCAGATTGCCATAAGAGACAAATTAGGAATAGATCCAGATTTTCAACATTTTCTAAATATGTCATAAAATCTTTTAAGTTTCTATGTCATGAAAATTTTGAAATAATAGGTATAATAATGTATAAAATAAAATTTGAAAATGTATTAATTCCTTGCTCGAACAAATGCAAAAGAAATACGTTCCTGTATGAAGCTATAGTATAAATTTACATATTATATATATTTATATATAATATATATAATTTTTCTTTTACTTATTTGTTTATATATATTATATATATGTATATATTTACTATTGGCAAAACTTTCTTGTAATGTGTGTACACTATGATTGATTGTTTAGTACTTTCTTTTATGTCGTTGCTATTTCATTTCAATATTTTTCATAATCAATTTTTGATTGTATTTTTAAAATTGCCATATAATTTCTTAACTTTATATTTCTTTTTTTTTTTTTTTAGAGATTATTTTTAAAATGATCTCATTTTTTTGTTGTAATACTGTATAGCATTTATAATTAACAGTTAAATTTACTATGAATGATAATATTATTGAGTCAATATTAAATGTCCGATTTCGAAGTGAAAGTTATCGAACGTTTTATACTTCATAATAATTTATTATATTATATTCCATCCATTGAAAACATTGAATAGTACTGAAAACATTATCGAACAAACTTGATATATATATACAGAGTGTCTCATTTAAAACAATATTAGTACAGATAATATGATTATCCTCAGTATCATTTTTTGTATCAAGTATTTATGAAAGGCTATATATTTTTTCATTCTTTAACATTTTTCCGATATTATTTGATTTATAATGTCATTTATTAATTTCTGTTTTTTTTTTTTATTATAAATTAAAAAAGAATATGAAGTAAATAATATATTAATTAAACGATAAGTTCTCTAATCATTAATTGAAATACATTTTTTTTTTTATTATCTTGTACATAAGATTACAGAAAGTTTTTAAACAAGTTATACACAATTTATACAACAGACTTAAAAACTTATATAAGCTTATATAATAAAATTATGTCATTTATATCTTTATCCTTTCAATTACCTCTTATTAAGGAACTTATGACATGAATGTTAATGTTAATTTTAGGATATATACATATTTAACAGTCTTACTTAGAAATTGTACATTTCTAAGATATTTTAAAGTATATGCCTTTCATATGTATTTTTATTTATAATTTACATATATAAATCTATATTTAATTTAATATAAAACAAAACAAAAATCACAGTAGTAGAAATCATATTACTACAAAATCTTTTATATACAAAGAAGTATGTAACACTTACTACTACACAGATATAAATATTTATCGTTTTTATTCTATACTTCAGATATCATAAAATATTGAAGCAAATGGGTAACGTATAACAAATGCTAAACAGCTACAAAAAACCTAAAAAAAAGATTCATATATATATATTAAAGTGTACATATAATTGCATATAAAAAAAAAGAAACGAAAAATCTATATATACAGTTAGTATAAAATATCGTTAGAAGTAATACCTGTATTAACATTAAAATTAATGTTAGCTTAGGTTCCTTTGTTGGTCCAATATTAATTAATAAAAAATTGATTAAAGTTAAGTTATTACATATTACGGTATCTTCGTCACTACTTTGCCATTGGACAATTTTTACAGTTCTAAATATCCACATTGAAAATTTACCTATTTAAAATAAAAAGAAATTATCTTACGATCTAGATAAAAAAAAAAAACAAACAAAAACCAATTTATCAATGACAACATACCTAAAGGATTTAGTTCAGAATATTTGAATACAGTGACACTGGCTTCCAATTGATCTGTATCTTTGTTATACCTACAGACATATAAAATTAATGTTGTTTATCTCTTTTTATATTTTTCTTTTTTAGAATTTTAATTATAAATGTTATTATTTGATACGAAAAGTAAAAAAAGAACTTACTTTGGAAGTCTATGTCTAGGGCATGGTACAAAATGAAACAGTTGTGGTACACTGTATAGAAAATTGATGATTTGTGGGATAAAAAATAATAAAGTGGTTTTACTGAAATGTCCAATAATACCAACAACTGCAAATGTCATTCCAGACAGATAACAAAATGTATCTCCTACAAATACTTTCGATGGGTACCTTAAATGCAATAAGAATATTTTAATATTACATATTATTATTTTATAAATTAAATGTATACATATTATTACAATCAAATGATTTATATATATATATATATATATATATATATATAATGTTAGGGTGAATGAAAAGTACGTGGCGTTTATTGTGTTGAAACTTTACTTTAAAATTGCATAATAGATTATTGTTATTGTCAAATTTACTGTAGTAATATTAATTTAAAAAACGTATGAACTTTTGGTTCACCCTATAAATAATATAATAATAATAATAATAAATATATATATACTATATAATATAATAATATATATACTATCTATACTATATCATACTATATATATATATATAATTTATTATATAAAAATGTATAAATATAAATAAGAAATATAGTAATAGTTTTATGTAAAAAAAAAAAAAAAAACAATTATATATATGCTAGTCAAAGAAGAATATAAGATGACTAAAATAACATACAGTTTCTACATTGAACATTTCATGATCGACGATTTTCTAAAATAGTCCAAACCAAGGACGCGTGCGCCTTACGAATAGTCACGATCACGCTTGCCGAGGAATTTGACGAATGAACGATGAGACACACGAGTATAGTCGCCCATTCGGGCGTGGTTTGGATAAGAACATGTAAGACGATTTCAAGTAAGTCCTCAGAAAGATTGTAAGAGTTTCAGATTAAAGGAAGAAATCTCAATTAAGGAGTAGTACAATATTAAGGTTATAATCCTAGGAAATTTATTAAAAAAAATAAAAAAATAAAATATGTTTTACTGTAGAACTAAAAACGATCTTCCTATCAACGGAATACCGAAAATCGTATAGGAACACGTATAGTCAACATCGTATAGTCAGCGAGGACGCTGCTGTTGTCTTCTAGTCATAAGGAACCATTCAAAATTAAATGGCACGTTGGAGAACAGTGACGTCACGACTAGAACGTCACGTCGCGGGGGCATTGAATCCTCGTCACGTTTCATTGTAAGTTTTTTATATCAAATTATACAATACACATTTGCATTTAATTATCTCTTTTATTGTAAATATATTATATCTTCATATGGTATTTCCTATTATATTTCTTTAATTGATTATTTGGATCATCAATTATAATTATCTTATATATATATATATACCATTCTAAAAAGAAAATATTCAAATTTGTGTTAATATATTACATATGTTTGTAATATGATCTTTTTTTTTTTTTAATTATACAACAATAATGGGCTAGAATTATTCAAGTCTGTTATTAATGAAATATATAAGGAAACCAAAAAAAAAAAAACATGTAAATTTGTTAATAAACTTAGACTTAGAAAAGTTTTTATTTTCAGATTATATTGATTATTGTATTTAGGTAGAAGAAATATGTCTTGCTTCAGGAAAGATACGTAGAGAAAGACGTAAAATGAAAAACTGAAGCTTTTCTTTTTTTGAGAATAGTGCCATGCAGACCCGCCTAGATGGGAAGCTGGCGTTACTTTATACGTTGTTGGTTTTACAAGTTCTTATTGTTATGGTTTACGTTGTAACAACTCCGCCATCTGAAATAGTTGTTGCAAGTACACGTAGCTCTGTTAGTTTTGTTAACTTTGAAAAAACTCAGGTATAACAAGACAAAAATCTATGTATATTGTTCTATGAAGATTTTGACTATTTCAAAAGAAATATTATTTAAACTGAATTATTATTTAATTGTAGGGTCATCATACAGAACGAACAATACACAAAAGACTTCCAAAATATCAGACAATCAGCGGTGAGACATACCTAAATGATATCAGAACTTTTCAATTATTTCGAATATACAATCATACTACATGCTGGAAGCATGGGGTCGATGATCGTAAAATGGGGATTAACGAAATCTCGGAAAAATGTATTTGCAATCAAGGTTGGCACGGGACAGACTGTGGACAACCCGAAGTGGTATGGAGAGCGATCATGGCATCTAAACAAAATATTAAATTGAAACATCGTAAAATAGCTAGACGTATAATACATACTTTTTACTTAAACGAATATAATTCGGCAATTGCAGAAGTTATTGTAGAAGAATTATACGACGTAGTTGATCTATTTGTAATTTGTGATTTTAATGGTGCAGAAGATAATTTTCATCATAAATTATCTAAAGGATTGTTGCAGCGGGAACAAAAAAAGATTTTATATATTAATGCAGCAACAAAATCTCGCAAACCATCGAGAGTACTATCTAAGTACATATGGGAGAAAGTAAAGACTGCCGTGAAGAATTTAAGAGACGATGATATTTATGTAATGACTGAACCAGAACAAATATTAAATTCTAGAGCACTGATGTTCCTTAAAGTATACGATGGATGGCCTCAACCGATAGGCTTCAGATTAAGATGGTTGATCTATGGATTTTATTGGCAACATCCACTTAAAACAACAATAACACTTAACGCGTGTACTATCGGATTAATGCGTGAAGCATATAAGTCTAATTCTATAATTCTGCAACAACAACAATTATTGGAAGAAACTAACGAAAGAGATGTTTTCGGATTAGTAATTGGAGATTTAAATCATTATGGAGGATGGTATTGTTATCTATGTCAAGCCCCAGCTAATATTATAATTAACCTTCGCAATACAAACAAATCTAACAAAATGCCAAAAATTGAGAAAAGGATTGATGTTCCTTTTATAGAAGATCTTATAGGAAGTGGATTATGGATAGATGGTAAAACTAATCTCTTAAGGGTCTCCAAATCTCATGATTTGTATTTTGCTCCTGAAACTGTACTCAATAACACATGGAAATATGACTGGCTGATAGAAAATTTTTACGCTAAGTTAGACTACTATTGAGACACTGGTCATAATCTGACTGTGATATTACTTCATACTCATTACTCAGCATATATTGTATGATATTATTATTATTATTATATACTGAATTTATATACTAAAGTACTATGTTGATTAAAATATGAATGTTAAATGATTTATACATATATAACTTATAAAGAAATGAATGGCCTATATAATTCTACTTTTAATTGAGAAAAAACAAAACAAAAGAAACATGTGTGCAGATCACACGTGTTAGAAAAGTGAAATCTTCCAAAAACTAATTTTCGAGAGAATCAGACGAATATAAAATATCTGATGTAGGATAAATTGTATTCTCTTCTTATTTAGTATCGCGGTTGTTTCATTTTCTCCCACCGCTCCGTTACATTTTTTCAAATCATACCAATTCTAAAGAAGTTTTCACTTCAAAAAACAAAAATCTCCTTTTGTTTTAATATAAATTATAAATATTTCTTTATCATTTATTATAATACTTGTCAAGTGATTAAACTTACCAATTATATTTAAGTAGTGCAAGAGAAGTTGCTATGTACGGAAATATAAAGTACAATGAAAATCTATGAGCTTTCCACAAATCTCCAGATAGCTCTACAATATTGAATATTACTATACTGATAGCTATTATCAAACTTTGTCCAACTTCCAAACCATTTATACCAGCCAATATGTTAATAGCATTTGTACAAAATACTGCTAACATTCCCATATAAACGTAATAGAATATCCATAAATCTACCGAATATCCAAGCCAAAATCTTAAAGGTTTTGGCACCATAATCAATGTTGAATTAAAGTTTACATAATAGACCATTAAAAGTGGCAAAGTGGCAATAGTAGGTAATAATAATTTGTGTCGCCAACGAAGATCCAAAACATCATCGGCAAAACCCAAAAGCAGCATACAACAAATAGAAAGTAGAGCTGCCAAAAATTCAACAAACTGTAATGTAAGTTTACAAATTATTAACTTCATTCCAATATTCAAATTTAGAATTTTTTTCTCTACAACATATGTGGACATCATTTCAAGGATAGTTTTTCTTTTTTTTACTTTAGTGTACTTGAAACTAACCCTAAAGTGATTTATACACATATCTTTAAAAAACACTGTATACATTTATTATTAATTATTTTCTATGTCAGTTAATATTTATTGAAAATCACATAAGTATATTGATTTACCTCGTTATGTGGAAAATGTTCATTTTTAAAAATATAATCTGTGAATGGTACAGGAATAAATAAGAACATTGTTATAAGAAATATACATCCTGTAACAACCCCTAATGCTTCTGGACTGTAAGAATGAAGTTAATAAAGGTAAAAATGTGTCATTTCTAAAAAAATATTCATTTGTTTTGATAAATATTTGTTCATATAACTTACACTTTCAGATTGTTCCTCTTACTCATATCAATTCCATATAGGTTAGCTTTAATGAACAGATCTTTTAATCTAGGAATTATATTAATGGTAAAAAAATATGCACCAATTGACATAATAACATTGATGGATAATGGAAAAATTAATTGCCACATTTCACTTTCAAAATTCATTTAGCACTAATTGAAAAAAAGAAACAAAGAAAAAAAAGAGAAAATAAACTTTGTATATGTGTAGTCAAATAAATGAAATCCAAAATATCGGCGTAATCTCCCGTTGACATACATGTACGAGGTTATTACGTGAATATAAAAATTGATAACTCAACCACGATGATATCAAATTAAATTTATGTTGCAATCTTTTTTATCAATTAATTAACATGATTTTTATTGTAAACAAAATCGTTTCACTATTCTATAACAACAAATACTATCATAATCGCGTGTACATGACTGACTGGTACTTGTTCATTGAATAACATTCAAAGAAAAGCAAGTCAAAACTATGAATGAACACAAAATATATAGAAATAAATATAATTTTATTCGAGAAGACGAATAAATATAAATTATCTGTAATATATTATGCACATCGATCAAAATAATTGTTAACGTTTTAATGTTGATTTTAAAAGTTACAATTTTCCCGCTCTTTTTAAAATTTGAAAAAATAATAAAAGAAAAAAAGTAGAAATACATTAGAAATAGATCGATGCAAATTATTATTGATGTTTTAAAGATTAAAATGAAAGAATTTTGTTTTCCTTGTTTTTTTCTTCTTAATTATATATTAAAAAAATTAAATATAAATTTGAATCATATTTCAAATTGAGAAGCCTTTCTTATACAATTTGTAGTTCAATCGGTCATTCATAGTTCGATAGTATTCCTCAGTGTTTAATTCAACGAATTTATAGTGATTATTAAAAATAGATAATTCTATTTGATTATTTTGAATTTGTGAGGTTGGTAATTATGTCAGAATTAATAATAACGCATTAAAAAAATTCATTATTGAAAAGTCGAATTAATACATTGATTTTACAACCTAACCTCTATTCCGGTATACTTTATTTACCAAAGAGGAAAATAAAAGATAAGTATTATAAAAAGTATAAGACGTCATACGCAAGAAGAAACAAATAATAATACTAATAATAAATAAAAAGGAAACATTGAAGAATAAATCAATTACAATGGATACGGAAAAACAGAAAGATGAAATTACTGCTTTAGAAAGTATTTACAATGAAGAAGAATTTTCTTATAACAACGAGGATAAACTTTATCAATGTAATTTCAAGATATTTATAACATTACCAGAAGGATATTATTTTACGTATAAAGATAATAGATATCCAGAAGAGTCGACAGAGAAAGTACAAATATCACATTTACCACCATTATCATTGTATGTTACATTACCAGAAGATTATCCTTCAACTTCACCGCCAATGTTTTCCTTGTCTTCAGTTTGGTTATGTTATGCATCGCTTGCTAAATTGTGCACAAAGTTAGATAATTTATGGGAAGAGAATAAAGGCCAAGAAATATTGTATTTATGGGTTGCATTTTTACAGTACGAAACCTTACAATATTTAAATATAAAAGAATCTATCAGCATGAACACTGTTTATACGTCTTATAAAATAACTTTGGATAAAGTGCAGAATTTTGATAGAAGCATTGAAGAATCAAGTAAACACGTGGATGAGAAAGAAGCAAAAGAAACTACTGCTAAAGATTTGAATAACAGCAATAGAAGTAGTTGTAGTTATAAAACTAATAAAAAGGAATTTCAAAGGCAACGTTTCAAAGGAATAGAAAATAGAAGAATAGATAAAAGGGCTTTCTCCGATTGTCCCTATGGAAAGAATCCAATACAAGTGTTAATAGATTATAATGAGAAACGTAATCAAATTGAATTCAATAAAAGTATGTATACTTGTAATATTTGTTTTACAGATAAATTAGGAGAACATTGTTTCCAATTTTTACCATGTTCTCATATATTTTGTAAAAGTTGCATCACCGGTTATGTAGAAGTCAAAATTAAAGATGGTGATGTACAAGATATTTCTTGTCCCGAACCAAAATGTACTTCCGAAGCAACACCTGGACAAGTATGTGTTTTATATATATATATTATATTATATATACAAGGTGTCTTATATATAAGAGTAAAGTGTTTAACAAAACTGCATGTTGTACGAAACTGATCCTCAGTGAAAACTGCGACACTCTGTATATAAAACAAATATTATAATAGTTATGTACTTTGTTTCATATATAAAATATTAATCACATTATATTTCTTTATTCAGATTAAAGATTTGGTTAGTCCAGAATTGTTTGCCAAATATGATTCTATATTGTTAAATGTTACGTTGGATACTATGACAGACATAGTTTATTGTCCAAGACGTCATTGTCAATATCCAGTTAGTCGAGATCCTAATGAACAAATGGCAAACTGTCCTGTTTGTCAATATGCATTCTGTGTTTATTGTAAAATGGTTTATCATGGTATAGAACCATGTAAAGTAGCTTCAAGTAAGTATAATTACATAATTAATATTACTGAAATATCATTATGAATTATTATTAACAATTATTCTAATAATAATAATAATATGATTTAACAGCTGAAAAGCAACAATTAGTTAACGAATATCAAGCTGCTTCTAACGAATTAAAACTTATAATGGAGAAGAGATATGGTAAAAATCAACTTCAAAAATTAGTTGAGAATACTATGTCAGAAAATTGGATCAAAGTTAATAGTCAGAATTGTCCTCATTGTCGTGCTTCTATTGAGGTTTGTATTTATCTTCTTAATATATATAAATTACGTGTGTATCACGTTGTTTGTCCGCAATGGACTCGTAAACTACTGAACGGATTTTAATCAAATTTTGCACACTGTGTGCAATTTCATCCAACTTGAAAGATACGATAGTTTATATCTCAATTTATATTACATAATAATTTTGTGTATTTTAGAAATCTGACGGTTGCAATAAAATGACTTGTTATAAATGCCACACGTATTTCTGTTGGTTGTGTGGAAGAAAATTAAATCCTCAAGAACCATATTTGCACTACCGTAATCCGGAATCACCGTGCTTTAATATGTTATATCATGGCTTAATACTAAATGAAGAAGAAGATGAAGAATATGATGATTTGATGTTTAATGAAATAGTAGATGACGATATTCCATTTTTTTCTGATGATGAAGAGTATGAAAATGATGCTTTATTCATTGATTATTAAGCTCTATTTTCTTCTTCTTGTTTTTTTTTTTTTTTTTTTTTTTTTTTTTTTAATTATATTATCGCAGAAAAAGAAAATTTTAATTTTATTATTATTTTTTGGATGATGAAATACACCTACTTTACTTTTTCTTTTGTGATCAGTTGATTTGGTTCTATACAAAAGTCATTATTTTGTTTCACAATAATTAAATATGTCGAATTAATAAAAATTTGTTTCTTTCATGTTATACGATGTATTTTAATTAAATACTTCAAATGTATGAAAATAATTTCAATCGGTTTGTTAATAAATGAATATAATTATATAATTATTGATTTTGTACGAGATATTATTTATTGAAAATTAAAAATTATCTTTTTTAAATTAAATAAAGTAAATTTTAAAATCTTATTCTAACTTTTACAGGGGTTAGATTACTTTGTTATCAACTGCTATAAGTTATTGGTAATGTAGAGTATAATAAATCTGTAAAGTAACTACTATCGCCCACTGGCAGTTCCGATGCAAACTAAAATGAATTTTTTATCAACAAATGCCGATAATATAGAAAGTGTTTTCACCTGATTTATCGACCATGTAAAAAATTCATCTTAGTTAGCACTAGGACCACCAGTCGGCGATAGTAGGTAAAATCTCTATTTTTTATATGGATATTACCTCCTATCGCCCTCTGGTGGTCTCGGTAGTAAACGTGATGATTTTAGTTACACCAAAAGTGGACTTGTGAACTTTATGTACTCCTGTTTTGATAAATCCTCATTGACAATGGTTACCTTCTTTTTTGATAAGGATACACGAATCAACCAATGATAATACACGTTAGGATTACCAATCATAGCTTTGTAGAAAATGAGAACTCCTTTATCCTTTATTAGAAGTACTACTTTCTATTTTCACTTAATTAAATGGTAATATATTCCACAAATGTGTGTTAGTAATTATCCCAATTATTATAAAAAAAAAAGAAAGTTCTAAATTAACTGGTTAAAAAAGAAATAAATAAAGAATGATAAAAAAAAATAATTGAAAAGATTGAATAAAAAAAAAAAAAAAGATAAAGAAGTTAATTAGAAATCTTGAAAGAAAGTAAGTATGAGTCACGTGTCATGCTCGATTGGAAGTAGTTCGACTGCAAAACTGTTCGTACATAATTCCTCGGATTAAAGGGACGCGTCCCAGAGGATAGAAGATAGAACGGGGGGAGTGAGTATCCTAGGAGGAAGAAATACGAGAGAGAAAGAGAGGCTTAGGTAGGTATGCTGTTCGGTCTCGTTCTTGGTATCCAGGCGGAAAGGGTTCTTCTCGGTGTAAAGCCGAGAATCCCCAATATAAATGTCAACTTTGCTCTGACATCTTCCTCTTCCCCTTTTCTTTTACCATAGTCTTCTTCCTTCGTATTTCTTCCCCCTCTTACCACCTACCCTCTTTCACGAGTAGTATTCTGTCATCGAGGTAGGGACCGGGAGTTCTTCTTCTCGACAAGGCCTCTTACTCTTTTGGTATCGGTCTTTTTTAACCCCTCTCCAAGCGCTCTCTCGTTTACTCGTTTTATCCGAAAATTTTCAGTCCTCTTTCAAGTGCCTACACACATCAACCAACCAACCAACCAACCAACCAACCAACCAACCAACCAACCAACCAACCAACCTATACAAAGAAACCCTAGAGAGTGTATATACAAAACAGGGCTAACTTCCCTACTATTGTGAACTACTATATCCTCCCCTTTCTTCACTGATCTTTTTCATTCTCCCTTTCTATCTATCTTCCTCCTACTCAAAGTTGTCTCCTGAAACAACAAACAAAGTAGACGAAGGCGGAAACATCAAGCATGCCAGCCTGCGTAATCGCGAACGATCTTTGAGCAGGAAGTGAGAAGGCAATTTAGGCGAACCGCACACCACCAACACAAAGTGGGGTTGGGTCCAGTGGATAACGAACGACTCGCCGGGAGGTAATTAACGGTGTTTTCCATCCCCCGGAGTAATGCTCCTCGTTACGACGGGCTTCCCACTCGTAGACTATCTCTCGCGTAAATGGGGGTTGCAAGAATTTCTCTCTCTCTCTCTCTTTCTTCCTAAACTGGTGGAAAACTTATATGCTTTCCTATAGATCTTGGACGAGTCCAAGAAGTTTCTTACCTTAAGCCTTCACAAAGTAGTTTATACAGACTCCTTAGGTAAAACTTGGTAGTCACAACAAAAGATACCCACCAGTTTTACATCTTGCCATATGGGATAATCGTATTCATTTTTCTTAGGTTAGGTAGGTTAGGTTCCTAGAAAGTGTTATATGATAACCCAAAGTTCAATTTGTAAATATGTTAATCAATTAATGCTGTAGAAATACAGTGCTGTATCAAATGTCATCATTTTTTTGGGTTATCGTGTTAGAACAAGACCGTGTTATAGGATTCCATATTTTGTCTATTATAAATGCAAAAGAGAAAAAACAAATATACAAAAATTCTGCAATTCTATAAAAGATTGAACACCAACGATAAATGAATATATCCATTCTTTAAGGGTTGGCTGAGAATCAAGGTTCTTTGTGGTCAGCTTTAGGGACCACAAGAAGCACAAGAAGATTTTTCACAGTAGTATCGGAAATTCTATTCTACTCGTAAACTCAGAGAACGATGAGTGTCCGCCAGTACAATGTGAGGTCTCGGGGAATCCTTAGGTAATTCAAACACACATGTACAACCCCCACACACATAAACAAAGACATAGGACCTGCGTGAGCTTGTAAACGTCATCTATGTGCTTTCTCGTTCCTATACACAACCGTGTATTATGAGTCTGTTTATGTGTATGTGTATGTATRTGTGTGTGTGTGTGTATTCATGCGGACACGCCTACCAAACGCCACGAATGCGGCGAAACGCGGCCAGAGAGAGTTTGCCTCGCTTCGGTAAATAATGCAAGCCGGGGTAATGGCGCTATCTCTGCGCATCTTTTATTAAACGTTCGCTTCACCGCCCCCGACTAGCCTACCCCCCTATCTCCTACCACTACCACTAGCACTACCACCACCATCATCACCAACCAACCACCCACTAGCCAGGCAGGCAGGCAGGCAAGCAGCCAGCCAGCCAGCCAGTCACCCCCACCCAAAGTTTTCTCCTTGCCGCCTCATTCACCAACCTTGCCCCTCCCACCCTTGCGATATCTACCAAATCTACTACTCCCCCTCCTACCCCTAACCCCTTTTCTCCTACCTATGCTATCGTATTACCTGTGACTGTTCTCTTCGCGGAATCTCTAAGAATTTTCCCAAGTGACCTGCCCTTCTTCCCTTATCATCATTTTCTTATTTTTTCATACCTTTTTTCTACATAGGATTGGTAATGGTTAGAATTCTTCTCTAGGATTTTGCGTTACTTTGAATGACAGTTAAGACGGTTCCATGTCGCGCGTACCATCGGTGGTGCACGTTAAACTTGATCTTCAGGCCACGTGTACCACCGGTGGTACACTTAAACATATTCATTTAAAATCACATGGCCTGAACGACAAGTACGTGTTGTGTTAAATTTCATCTTCAGGCCCCAGATTTAAGTAGTCCCACTTGTCCTGCTGAACGAAACATCGTAGCGACTCTCAATTGCCACTCATCCACAATCTTTCAAAAAGGTATTAATAATCGTGTCATTCTCAAACGAGAGGATTGAACGTTGAATTTTCTTATTGTAAAGAAAATTAAAGAGAATAAAGAGAATAATTGTGAAAAAGATTTGACAAAAGAGGGAGAGGTTTAGGGGGAGGGGTGTGAATCGTAGAGCAACCACCCTGGTGCTGTCTGTCGATTTTCTCGGTGTGCTGATTTCAATTAGCATTATTATTAGAGCCCACGACGAAACCTGCCGATAAACGTCGTCGTACTCTCATATATATATATATATATATGTACATGTTCATGTATATCAACACGTATACTACACGTACATATACTAGTAAAGAGAGAGAGAGAGAGAGAGAGAGTAAGGACAACATCCACGGGCACGATTAAACGCGCAGGTCTCACGCGCGCCACATATATATATACACACACACACATACATCATACATACATGAACATGTACAAACGCACGCATACATATATAGATACACAAGGACGAAAAGCCCCGAGCCTCGACTGACGCTTTGCTAGGGGGTGTTTGAAAGCGGTGAAATCAATGCCTCTGTTTGCACTGTTGAGGTCGAACCGAAATTCCGTTCCTGCCTGCCTGCCTGCCTGTGCCACACTGCCTACCTTCCTACCTAACTACCTACCTATCGTCGTCGTCGTTGTCGTCGTGTCTACACTACGTACTGTCCATGTATCTTTCTCTCTCTCTCTCTCTTTCTCTTTTGGTTCAAATGTATGGGGGGTTTGTGAGCACGCATTTGTCAGTGTGTTAGATCGTTTACATGTAGATACAGAATATTGTAGATAGTTGTCCCTAATCATTTTTCAAAGTAACTATAAAAGGTGAATTAATTATTGATGTTATTAAAGGAAACTACTTTATCAACGTATATAGTAAGATTTATAAAATGATCAGATTTTGTTTTCAGATTTGATATTATTCTAAGTATGTTTAAAAAAAAAAAAAAAAATAGGATATCCCTAATTAATTGGTTAACCTTCCACCCCAAAGAAAAAATAAATATTATACGTTAAATTTTATTGCAAAAGAATGCAAAATTGAAACAAAAAAAAATTAGTAGGAAGAAAAAGAAAATACAATGACAACGATATTGTAACAGACAACAGAGACAGAGACAAGTAGAAATAGTAAGTTTGAAGTGAAAGAGTCGATAGGAATGGTAGAATGAATGAATGACAGTGTAATAGAGTATGTGTATGTGTATGTGTTTGAAAGAGAGAAAGAGAGAGAGAGAGAGAGAGAGGCACGGACGCAAAAGATAACGGGCCGCGGTCGATCGATCGATTCGCGGAGGCTTTTGTTCGTCTCCGAAAGCCCCGGGGTCTGCTATCCGATTTAACTACGAGACAGGAGCCAGCAGCAGCAGCAGCAGC